TCTAATGAGAAGGCAAATCCCAGCAATAATCAAGTATTTCTTCAGCTACTCCCACCAAAGAAAGCAACAGGATATGTAGAGCCTTGGTATTCCTTTCACCCTTTGTCTTGAGATCAAAGCCTGCTGCCAGGTCTTTAGGGATTTGACAGAATCACAGGAATCAAATATTGAAATGATCTATTAGGTCACATCTTGTGCATCATCTCCTTGGGCAGATGAAGATTGGTTTTTGCAACAGTTACTGGAGCTTGCTTATATTTGCTCTTTACTGCCATACCTCAATGCACAAATTGTATCACAATTAAAAGCTTTGCTGCTTTCAACTTTTCTTGGATTCTTTATACATCAAAGTCTTTCAATGCAGTCTGTGAACACAGTAACCAAATATTTCCTACACTTATGAGCATCAGGGTCCAGTCCAGTCTACAGCATCAGATTTTAACAGCAAATTGCATGACTGATGACACATCCTCTGCTGCTCCTACACTTTTTTTTTTTTTAATTCTGTAAATAAACCCATAGTGAGTTAGTTAAATAAAATCAATCAGCGAGTTGATGTCAGTTGTTAGACCACCCCATGAATAGTCTAAGTCCTGTACTTGCACTGTTCCCACTGATACAATGCCTGGCTGGGCACGGTGAATTCCATAGGACAATGCTGCTGATCCTACAGAAGTGACCGCTGTGGTCACAACTTTAACCTCTTCAGCCCAGAGATCACAATAACCCAAAGTCTCTTTTCTTTCTTACAATCCTCAGCATGTTTGAAATCTCCCCTTTTGCCACCTGCTGGGATTGCAAGCTCCACTTTGGGGGTTCACAACAAATTCCTCCCCTGGCACACACAGCTACACCAGCCCAGAGAGGGAAGAGGTGATGCACATCACAGACCCAGCACCACTTCCATTCATTTAGTTTTTTATTTACTTTATTTAGGTGTGAGTGCAAAAGCTGGGATTCAATAGCCTTAGACTGTGGGCCTGTGGCAAGCACATTGAAAACAGGTCAGCTAAAAATTGGAAATAAATGCAAATACATCCAGACTGGCCACTACTGTTTAGAGAGGGACACCGTGCTCGTGCAAGGCCTGCACACCTACCCACAGAGCTCCTGGGCAGACTGGGACAACCCAGGGAGACAAAGGCAATGCAGAGTCACAGGGGGAGGCACTGCAGATGCCACAGAAAAGCAGATACTCCTCTAAATTCAACCCATGGTGACCCAAGAAAACCACTAAAAAAAACCCAATAAAAAGAAGTAATCAGAGAAAGAGCAAGGAGCTCAGTGATAGACTGAGGCACATATCCATGAGCACTTCCTCTTTCTCTCTCCCTTACATGGTTCACAGCTTCCCAAAGTATTCAGGGCTGCCAGCTTCAGACTGTGTGACGTCCATGAAGGACAATATAAAGACAAAATTCAAACAAATGACAAAATGGAATGCTTTGGTTTTCTGACATCAAAGACTGAAACAAATGACTGCTTTCAGTCCTTGAATTCAGGAGTGGCAAAGGCTGGAGAGGGTCCACAGTGGCCAGGGAAGCCCTGGCTTTCAGCAACTTGCTGAGCAAGGCAGTCACCTTTCTCCTTGCTCAGCCCCAGGCAAGCAGTTCCCCTTGCTCTGCAGAGCACTTGGCATAAAACTCTCCCACAGGTACTTATGTGCAGAGAGTGGAGCTGACAATCTGAGAAAATACACTTTTGCTGTTCTGCCCATCTATGACAGGCACCCCTGCAGAAATGACACCAAAGCTTTTGTGCAGATGTGGCAGATGTTCAAGGACACTCTACGAGAGCCAATGACCCTCAATCAAATTTTAAATCAGCTTATGAAGAGGTGACAGTGACATTCTGCCCTTCAGAATTAGCAATCAAATCTACCTTATGCAATGAAATTACAAAGCTTAAGAGTTATTAAATTACAACAGAGCTTTACATCTTTCAAGAGTTGTCTCAAGTTCCTGAGCAGGCCAGGAATTCCTTTCCACTTCTCCATTTGTATTCTTGGCTCACAGCCATTTCAGAGATGAGACATTTCCAACTGCTAAAATTAATCCATCAGCTCAGGTTTTACAGACATCCAGGATAAGGTTTGTATGGAGGTGGGAGTCTGCCTCTGGAAAGTAAAGCTACTGTAGGGCAGTGTTTCATGCACACACATTGCACATGGGTGCACAATCAGGCACTCGTGCCAGAAACAGGAGGTCATGAACATCACCAAATTGAATTACAGCTGGTTGCTGCATTTTTTAAGCCAGGAAAACAGAAAAATCCATCAAGCAATGTCAATGTTTCTTTGGAAGTCTGACAAAAGACTAAAAAATAGACACCTAAGCTCAAGCAAACAAAAACAACATTCAACCCATCCTTTTTTAATTCTCATTATTGCCACAGAGATGAGTTTTCAAAGGGAGATTTAAAAGCTTGTTGTTATTTCCCTGTGACTTTTAGGTTCTCCCCTATGAAGATGGTACAACAGTCACATTAGAAATAGAAAGTAAGAATTCAGCAGAGTTTGGGACCAAAGGCTCATTAACTTCCCATGGAATTTATGTACTTTGGAACAAGCCAGCACCATGTCCTTAAAGGGTTCTGTAACAAATGTGCTTCCCCTGATTCAAAGAAGAAAAGAGAAGAAATGAGAGGCTTAAAAAGCACCAGCAAACTATGATGATGAGCATTTAAAAAGCCAACAACATTTTCCAGACTGTGTTCTCTCTCTATTGACTCCCACACACAATCAGATGCAGAGAGTTATGATCATTCCATTTCACATTCACCAAACATCCTTCCCTCCCCAGGTTCAGCAAAGGATTGAATAAGTTTTCAAAATAGCACGCATTGGAAATGCAAACCTGGAGGTTCAGGAAGATCTGAGGGATTTGCTACCACATATCAACATCTCCAGTGACAGGAGATGTTAATAAAACACGACTTTTTATGTCCTTCATTTGAACATTAGACAGTGAGTGTAGCACATGCAACATAAAACTAGAAAAAAATATCAGCAATAACATGCTATAAGAAGATGCTCACTAGTGTTTCCAGAAATAATGAGTAGATAATTTTAAAATTTGGCATGGAGACAGGAATTTCCCCATGTGCTCTCAGTGTCAATGTGGCTGTTCCACCCAGCACAAATTCCACAGCGAGAAAAACGATTTGCCACAAGACCTGTGATTTTTCAGGTAAAACTTATAGTTCACTTCCCAGATATTTTAGATCTTTTGAATCAAAGTTTCCACCTGTGATGCCAAAAGTCATCAGCTGTATTATAAAAAGGGCAGGTGACAATGTTCTGGACCACATTATGGGCTCAGCACAATGACTCCAAAGAGATTTTGCCCAAACATGATGTAAAAGGACCCATGAGGTGATATCTGGCCAAGAGCAGGGACAGGCATTGCTGATCCAGCTGTGAGCAGGCACACTCTTACATTCAGCTTAATGTCAAAGTTAATTACAAATGTTATTTCTGCTCTATTGTTTCATAAATGTAATTTTATTTATAAATATCCTCCCGCTTTGCTGGCCATGTACACAGGAATCTCCACCCCCTAATACTTCAAAGGACATCAATCTTGAGGAAATGCAACTCCCACACTTTGACTGTTATACAGGAAAAACACTGTTGTTATGCAACACTACGCTGTTCCAAAACATCTCAACGTCAGAGCCTCAGCTCCAGCAGCCTCAGAGACAGAAATGGCAGTTTGTCAGCCATGGAACAAGCTCAGAAAACTGCAACAGGGTCCACAGAATTACAGGGTTTATGCACAAGGCTCCTCCACAGCAAAAAGGGGTTTCTTTCTGCAAATGTGCACATGCAGGTATTTAGGAAATCCATAAAATTTGGGAGTTTATTTTCTAATTTAATGCAGACTGACCACCAAATAACACTTCCCACCCTACTTCCCAAACATTTTCTGCCAGATATTCGAGGCTTTTTTCCTGAGCTTATAAGTGGTCATAAATTAAGCAACATTGCTGAGTTGTTTGTGAAGGAAGGTTATCAGAGATAACCCCTCTCTCACTGATAACCCCAAGTGAGCAGAAATGAGGCACAAGTTCCTCTCCTTTGTTTTTTTAGCCACATCTTTTCCAGACTTGATATTCCTATTGACTATAAAACTCAAAGAGTAATTTTTAAAAACACTTTTCTTTCAGAATGCAGCATTTGAGCTAATTTTAAAGACAAATGCTACCACAAGACAGGTAAATAAAGTGAGTTAATTCTAACTAGCAGGAATGCAGTTAAAAATCTCCAAGAACTGCAGCCAACACATCCAACATCCAGCTTGCTCCACAGTGATGACTTCATGGAGTGCAGGATCACTATTTAGTAACAATTTCAGATAACAATAAATAACACACCCATCTTCAGTAAAAACAGATTTCAAAGAAACATGCAGTATAATCTCTTACTCAAGATGTAGCTTTTCTTAGAGTTAAAAAAACATTAATTTTGCAAAGATTGCTAGGAAACATTTGATGACAGTCGCTTCTCTGGTTTGTGTCTCATCAAAAGCCAGGCAGTTTGCAAGGCTTTGTGCTCAGCCTCTCTTTACAACCTTCCCTGAAAGCACCAACCTGGGCTGACACTGATAAATACTGTGGGGAGAACACAGGCAAAAGGTGATACAGCTCCAGTCACACCTTTTACAAACAGATGCTCTACAACAGATTAAAAAAAAAAAAAATAGGAACTCGATCAATAGAACTGCTGCTTTGCAGGATCACAAAAGTGCTTGTAGGACACCTGTTAAGAGCAAAAGCATTCCCTCCCTTCCAAATGGCCAATTATCCAGCATGAGATCGGAGTCCGGTCAGCACAACTACTAATTAGGGTTCTCCCAGCCTTTTTAATTTACAAATTGCTTCTCCATGCCTTCTCCCAGATTCTGAGAGTTATCACAAATGTCTACAAACACAACTGGACAAGTATTTAAAAGCAATTCTGTTCTGTATAGAGTTAATCCAGTGCATTCAAAATAACTCACCCACTAATAGCTTCACATCTCTAACGGTGAAATCCGGGTCAGGCATTCTGTAATTAGCAAAGAAAGCAAAGTTAAATACTGTCAAGATAAGTATGGGTACACTCTCGTTACCATAATAAAGGAGAAATAAATGTATGGTGCTCTTTGTCCATAGTGCAGGAGGTGGAATCAAGCAAGGCCCCTCTGAAGTGTGGACAGTGCAAGTTTTAATGACACACATGACATCTTAGCATTGGCAAGTGTACAACAGTTTTTCTACTCACAATGAAAGAGAAAAGGTGTCTTTTTGAGCACTTTTTATCAGCACCAGAGTGGGAGAGAAGGGAAGGGGTTGGGAGTGATTTCAATAAAATCCTAAATGTTTATAGCTTGTTAAGCAACTCGTGGTGCCTCATGTCTGTTCCCCAAGGTGAGCATTACCACACTTGCCAAACTGAGGCACAGAGCAGTAAAACAACCTGCTCAAAGCCACATCATCACAGGTTGGAATCATGGCTTGGAAACAAAATATATTTTTAAAAATTTAAAACAAAATAAAGCCCCTTTGTTTTAATGACTGTTCCAAACCTCCTTGTCTGACAGAAGACATCCCGGCTGTATTTGGTGGGTTGGGAAATTGTTCAATTCAATTTGAGCTAATTCAGAGCTAAATTAAATGGTAGCTTAATTGGTTCAGGGATGTTGATCATTTACAGGATCACTTCTAACACAGGCAATGTTTTAGGGCATAATGTAATTAGAGAGTAGCCTGGTCCAGCAAGTGAGTTTTACATGTCAGGGAGAGAGTAAAATTCTGCAGCATAGAAACTGGATGGAAAAAGAAAACAAAAACAGTACTGAGGTTTTAAGGGTGATTGACTTCATTTTACTGACAATATTTCACACTTCACATTGCACAAAAGCTGACTAAGGAATTGTAATGAAAAACAGCCCAGTGGGAAGTGCCAGCTCAGTGCTCTGCCCCTCTTGTACTGCCTCACGTTGAAGACAAACGATTTTTTTCTGGACTTTTGACATTATCTAGTTGAAAACTAGAATAATCCAGCCCATGGACAAACATGAAAACCACTAATTTTTACTATTAGGAAAATGCCTAAAGGTAAAGTTAAAAACTGCATTTCCTGGCATGCACATATCTTGAGAACTATTTGCCAAATTCTCTTTGTCCACTTTCTTTTACTCTTATCACCTTCCTCTGGTGGGATGCAGAGGCCGGACAGTATCTTTTGTTAGTTCTCTGCCAACCCTCACATCTTTGCATTTGGCTGTGAGGGCCTCACAGCTTTGGAATTCACTCCCTCTCTGGAATGAAACAGCCTGAATCTACTGACCTTCAGGGTTCATTCAGAGCTCATCTTTTCTTTCCAAGCACTAGAAAATCAGAAGTAGGGGAAACAGGAACCATTTGTGGGCAACAAGAACATGCCAGGCTTGTCTGCAAATGACAGAGCTTGCTTGTATTTGGTGTCAGAAATGTCCAACAATTAGATAGGCAATCTTTTTCATATTTCTAGAAATCAAAACAAAAATCAACTGCCACACTCCCTCTTACACAATTAGTGCTGGTTTGCTGCAAAACTGTGATAGCAAAAATCCCAAAACCAACTGTTTTCTTGAATGTCACCAGCCATTTGGTTTTCCGTTTATAAATCCAGAACAGCAGCTATGCAAGAACTGTGCAGAAATGTTTTTCCCTTGATGTTATGCAATTTTCAGACAAATGCATCTTGTGTCAAACCACCATGAATGCTCCCAAAGATTTCAAATATCATAAAAAGTGGTGAAGAATAGTACAGCAGGGTGACTTAATTCCGATATATGACTGACTACACTGAAGATGTTCAGCAGTCTGTAATAAACAAATTGTGTTGCTGGTTTCCTCAGGCAGAAGAGAAATGCAAACGCCTCAGTCTGCACTGGGTGCATTTCTGCAAATGTTTAAAGATTTGCTGGAGAACCTATTCAAATCCTAATGAGGATGAGCTCTGGCCAGCACAGGTATCTGATTAACTACAAAACAATGCAAGATGACTGCTGTTCAGATAAGAGATAACACCTCTCCAAAGAGCATTCTCTCCCTGAGTTAGAATCTTGGAAACAGCCCTCCAAGAAAAACAGCTCTCCAAGAAAAACAGCTTCTCCTCTGCAAAGAGATCACAGCGGGGCTTTCCTGCTTTCAGACGTACAAGTAGCAGTTCATGATGGTCAGAAGTACAGAGGAAAGCAATTTGCAGAGTTTCATTGTAAGGATTTTTCCTCATTCCTCTCATTCCTTGCCATTTCAGAGTACCTCCAAGCACAGTAACCAAACTATTCAGCTCTGCACATCTGCCAGGCACAGACTTGCAGGCTGACTGCTCAGCACATGCAAAAGTGGCAGCTTGTATCAGCAGATTTTCAAAACGTCAGAAGTCAAAAAATCATCTTGTATCACGTACTTTGTGGACCATTGTATCTCAAAAGTCACCTTACATATATCTGATCGCCCAATCCACCACGTCATGATGTTCACAGCCTCCTGTGATCTGAAGCCTAGGAATGTTTGTGTCTGCAGGATGAGCTCTGATTTCCACACATCTTCACTCTGGAGCACGAGCTGAACTGGTACCGTTTGCACAGCAGTGGGAGCTGAAACATCTTCCCAGCTTTCTTCTTGAACTGAAGGGAATTTCATGTGAACTTCCCCAGCCACAGGAGGAGGATCTGGATGCTGGGAAGGTGTTGCTCTGGCTCCTAAGCACTCCCCAGCCTCACTGAACAGTTCATGGCTTCTTCAGGAAGAACTTCTTGAAGCTTTTACCACTTGCCCCTCAGGAGCAGAAGTTTAAAATCAATGCATACAGAGAGAACCTACTGAGCACTTCTTGTTCAGAGTTCAACATATAAAACTACTTTACTACATCACCAGAAGCATCACAGCAGTTCCTGTTTGCTCTTAGAGTAAAAGGATGCATGGTTGTCAAATATCTCAAACTCTGCTTCATCTCTTTCTCTCTTTAAATTGTACTGGGGTAGCTTGATTCCTTTTAATTAACAATTGGGAGTCCTTGGTCCCCTAAACTGGGAGGTGTTGCACAGCTGGAAACTAAGATGAAACTGAGCAAAGTAATGATGCTTTCAAAAAATTATTTTTCTTTCTTTCAGCAATAGTCAGTTACATGATCCTAATTTCCAAAAGTATCAAGGAACATTCATCTAAACTGTGGATTAAAGACTGATAATGCTTTTAATACTTCTCTTTTAGACAATGTCACTTTCACAAACAAAGTTGCAGGATTCTCTTATTAAAATACAAAATCCTTTATACTGGATATTAACAAAATGCAACCTCAAAAAGGCTCCAGTAATCTCATATCTAACTAGACATTATTAAATATTTACAAAGCTGTAACATTCTGAAGAGACATAATTATAATGGAAAACGACAGGCATCATTATAATTCCACCTGCAATGAATGAAAGAATTGAGAAGTCAGAAATTGAAGGGAGTTTGTTCTGTCATTACAGCATGGATTGGGTGCAAAAACCTTTGGATTTCATTCCTAACTTTTAGGGCTGACATATTTTTGACTGTGTAATACCATACTGTTTACACTTAGCTTTTATAGACTTCATTATCTGCTTGTTTATAAGCGGAAAATAATCATTCCTCCTCTCAAGGGTACTGACAGTCTTACTAATTGCAATCCATTTTGAGATCATCAAAAGAAATATCAGATACAAGTAGAAAGCATAATGGTTATTTTATAAAAGCATTTATTAATCACCAAAATTTGGTTGTAACTTACTTAATTCCCAGTCCATCCTTATTTCTGAAGATGAGGGGAACTCTGAGAGCTTCTCTTTGCACATACTCAAAAGTAAAATCTGTGGAAATGAATAAGAACAACATCCAAAAGCAATTACAATGGTGTTGGCACCTCACAGTTACATTTCTCAGACTCTCCCCATTTCCCTTTTCTCACCAAAGAACTCCCTATCACCTAAAGAGAAATAGAAAGAGAATGCATATTTTAGATCCAAACCGGAAACCCAGTGACAGACAATGCTGTCCCAGCTGCTCCCTATTTTTCCTGTTCACTGATGCACATAAAATAGGAGCCAGTCAGTTTGTCAATTAAGGTCTGTGTTGAAACACCCAGGCTGTAATGAAATACCAAATTAACAGTTAAAAGCTAATCCTGACCAAATACTGCAAATCAGTCAGGTATTTTTTGGGCAAATGTGTAGTTTAAAATGTATGTGTAAGTTTAGATTTTCTAAGTTACACGTTTCTACTTAGATAAATACATGTTTTCTTGTGAGCGTTATCTGATTCTAGCAGAGAGCTCTGATTCCATGAACATGTAATTCTTTTTATGTGGGGCTTACTCTTGGTTTCAACAGAACAACTTTTCTCTTAGTTAATCAGCAATGTAACTCCAGGAGCTGATAGTCAGATTTTATACAGCTCCTAGCACTTAGGAAGTCTGTGAAAAATGAATAGTGGGGAGTCGCAGCATAATACACAATCAAAGTGAAAATTAAACATAAATTTGTCACGTTAACACTGGCCAGAATTACCTTGTTGCTCCTCTCTGAGGATTACACAGGACTGGCTTTTCCTGGGGATTTCTCTATGCATGGTCTGACACAATAGCAGTGATTTGGGGATTAGAGAGGAAGTTACAAGGCAGCGATTTGGGTGAGCCATGGCTACAAAACCCCACACTCAGTTTGGAGCCTTCTGCCACAGAGAGCAGAGGAATTCCTGCAGCAGTCATGGACTGTTTCTATGGCTCTGCTATTCCCCCATTTTACAGGAAAAAATGACTTTTAGAAAGCCTTTCCATACACTGCCTTGAAATGGAAAGCATTGCTTGACTGTCCAGCACTACAAAATGCCCTGCACTGCCAAACCCAGAGCCCACTCCCTGCACTTTATTCAGGTACACACGAGCAGCTTAGCTCCAAGATTCTTCCAGCTGTCCAGGCTTCCAGCACAAGCACCTCAGCCTGAGCTTCTATTCCTGATGTTTCTCTGCTCTAAAAGCTACACTGAAAGCAAGAGGGGAGCCAGAGGCCAAACTCCCATGCCTGCACATGTACTTGCCTCTATTTTTACTTTTTCTTTGCTGTATTCAGTTAGTAATTATGACAAGTAGGGATGTAATGTTCCTACTTAAGAGTTACCAAATCAGAGCGCTGTAATTATCCATTTACAGAAACATTAAAACTACAGAAACTTTATTGCCACTAGTGTCAAAGTAAGTGTAATGAACACTCCATTTAACTAAGGTTACCAAGTAAATATTTCTGTGCTAAATAAGTCATCCTTCCCCATAGGCATCCCCATTAAAGCTATTGCCTTTTGGTAAGCAAACAGATAAACCACAGAGACTTTTTACAGACACTGATCCAAGTCAGAAAATCAACAAACATCAGGAGTAATATTGGTGGAAGAAGCAGAGGCAGCTATGTAGCCTTGCAGATTAGAGAACAAGTAGCTATGACATTCAAACTGCATTCAAGCCAAAAACCGCACCACTTCAAGATGAGTTATCATTAAAAATAAAAACAAGGACATGGGAAAGAAAAAAAAAAACTGCTCAACTAATTCCATGTGTTCGTATAAATTGTTTTATTCTTCCATACTACTGTCATTGTTTCGACCAGATTCAATTCAACGCTTAGGTTTATAAAGAAAAAAAGTAAACCAATAGTAAAAATAAAACCAGAGCAAATAGCAAGGCAGATCCTTTCTTCCTAATGCCCCAACAAAGCATTTAAATCCCTTGTGGGGTTGAACAAAGCCGACACAGACCACAACAAAATAACAAAAGACACTCATTTATTTTCAAGTTCCCTAGAAAGGAGAGAGCTGCCCAGAGATTTTGGAGCTGCCAAGCCAGGGAAGATGTGGATTGTACTATCCTTAGCATGGAGCAGTGGCAACCATTGGAGTGTTTGGAAGCTGAGGGTAGAATGAAATAATTTTCTGGAAAATTAATTAACATTTTCAAGCTAAAAAATAGTTGCTTGTATTTTGTTTGGAGGAAGAGGGGTCAGGGTTGAGCTTATCTCCTAAACAAATACCTTCCTAAGTAAGATAGGTATTTAATATCTCCTGCATCAACTTTTCTAAAAGGAGCTTAAAATGCTCATGCAAAATTAAGCCTAGGGGAGAAAAGGAAATTTTCTAAACTTAATTAGTGGCTCCACAGAGCTACAGCAATTTCAGGAGGATTACAGCCCAAACTTCTCTTTCCTGAGAAAGCCATCCTAAACAGGCTCCTCAGTCAGGCCGAGTTTTGGTGACAGCCATCTGGGATTAGGGATCCGTGTCAACAGCCCAGCGGTAAATAAAGGTGACCTGCAACCCCCCAGGCCCGCTGGATTCCCGGGCAAACCTCTCCCGTTTCCCTTCCTGCCAGGCAGCGTGCGGCAGAGCTGGGCTGTCTGGCTCTGCTTACCGCTCCGGAATTCGAGTCACCTAAGCAAAGCGAGTAACTTTGGGGAGGGGAGCGCTGTAATTTAATATATGATAGACACACAAAGAAGTTATTGACTTTAAAGTCTCCGAGCCTGGCGAACAGGCTCATCAATCGCACTCTTTCTCAAAAAGGGTCCTGGATTCAAGAGGGGGTGGAGGGGGAGCAGGAATCACCTCTGGCTAAATGGGGGCTGGGGTTTCGGCCTCTCCCGTGCCAGGACCTGATTCCTGACCAGCCCGGTGCTGCGCTGGGGTCACGGTGGTGGGGGCACGGCGGGGGGAGCGCCATGGATCACCGCGCTCATCCCGGCACCGCGCCGGGGCAAAAGCCTCCCTCCGGGTGCGGGGGACGGGCCGGAGCAGCCCCCCTGGGACGGGACGGGCTGCAGGGCCCCACCAGCAGCCGCCCCCCGGCTCCCCTCGGGCCGGCAGCGTCACCGGATCCCCGGGCAGGGGCGCGGGCGCGAAATCCGAAGCCGGAGCGGAGCCGCACGTGGAGGCGGCGGCGAGCGCGGCCGGACAGCCCCGGCCCGGCAGTGTTACCTTTGCCGTCCATGGCATGCACGAAATCCCCGTGGTACATTTTACTCTTTAATTTCTCTTCCAAATTGAAACTCCTGATGCTGACAATTTCCTCCACGTCCGAGAGGTCCTCGTTCTCATCGTACCGCCTTCGGCCGATGCAGCGCTAGAAAATACACAAAAAAACAAAATAAAACACATTGTCCGGAAAAGAAAAAATCGAGGAAAGCACATGGATCGTGCACAACGGTTTGATAAACACATCCTAGGGGAAATAATTAAGATGGCAAGGCACAAACTGAACAAAACCTGAACCCAAACAAGCTCCAACCGGCTGCATGCACCTTTTCCATCCCGTGACACGGAACTCGGCAGGAATAACAGGTGCTTGGCTTCAGGAAAACTCAAACTTGGGCTGCTGAGCAGGGGCTGGCGCTGGAAGGCGAGCGGGGGACGCGTAACTCGCCGACAATTCACAAGCTACAGCACCGAAGCGTTTTGCGATCCCGTAAAAACCTTTGAACGGCGGTAAACGCTCGTTAACGACCGGATCATTCTTTTAATTATTATTATTATTATTGTACGTGAACACGAGCTATTTCCCCGGTGAAGGGCAGGGGGGCGAATCTTCGCATCTGATGCCCAGCATCCAGGTTTCGGTATTTACATAATCCGAGTGTTTCCATAGTCACACCGGAAGCGGCGATTTAAAAACCAGATCGCTTTATGTAACGCCGCGATGGATGCGCAGCCCCCGCGCGCTCCCCCCGCCGCCCCGCACGCTCGACAACGCCGAAAGCGCGGGGGTCCGCGGCCGAGGGGCAGCAACGACTTCAGTGCGGGGGGATGCAGGGTAGGCCCGGCCGAGGCCGGTGACGCTGCCCCGGGGAAGCTGCGGCGGGCGCGGAGACCGGGCTGGAGGCGGCGGGGACCGGCCGCGCACAAGGTAGGTCCCCGGAGGAGCGGGGGGAGCCCGGTGCAGCGGTTGCCGCCGGCGGCTCTGCCCCTCTCCCGGCAGCTCTCGCCCTGCGAACCCGCCCGCAGCCCCGCGGACACGCGCGGTGGATCAGCGCAAACCCGCACGCACCGGAAAAAATAATGATCCATGATCGTCCCACCCTGCCCGTCCCTCGGTTCCATTCCGCCCCTTCCCCGCTGCCTCAGCCGCGCTCTTGCAAACTAAGCCGCTCCGCTGCCTACGTCCCACATGCATTTCTCCCTTTGCAAACAATTAAGCAAAATCAATTAAAAGGCACGAATAGGAAAGAGACCGAAGCCAGCTACACACCAATCTTCTTCCAGAGTCTTTCTTTGCCTCCATTTTTTTTGAGAGTTTCATCACTTATTTGTCAACAGTTCCTGTCCTGCATATTTGGCCCAAATGGGGAGGAGGCAAAACAAAAGCCATCCAGGGCTCGCTAAAGTTTTGCAATTTTGCACCAGGACTTTTTTTTTTACAGGACCGGGCTGGGCTGGCCAGAATCGGGGGAACGCCCGGGGTACCGAGGCGGTACCGGCGCTGGGCTGGCCGGGATGGGGGCTGGGTGGGATACCGGGGCGGTACCGGCGCTGTGCTGGTCGGGATGGGGGGCTCGCCGGGGTACCGGGGCAGCACCGGCGCTGGGCTGGCCGGGATGGGAGGCTGGGTGGGATACCGGAGCGGTACCGGCGCTCTGCTGGCCGGGGTACCGGGGCGGTACCGGCGCTGTGCTGGCCGCCGGCCCCGCCGTGCGGTGTTCGGTCACGAGTGCGCGGCACGCAGGCGCTGAGCGGCAGCGGGGGGACGGGGACGGGGCCCCACAAAGGCGCGGACGGTCCCTGGGTTGGTACCGCAGCTCCCGGGATGCGCCCGAAGAGTTGAGCGGTTCTGCTTCACCGGGGGTAATTTAGCTCCGCGAGTATGCCCGACCCCAATGGCTTAAAGCCGGGGTGAGGAGTGGCGAATTAATGCAGCAAACATTTGAAAATAATCTTATAATACACGGACTTGGGGTTAATTGTGGTGGTGGCTTCGCTCCGCGCCTCTGCCACACGTGCGGTGCAGCTCGGCGCGGAACGCGCACCCCGGCTGGTGCCGGCACCGCTCCCGGCACTGCACCCACGTGCCCTGTGAGAACCGGCCGTAACATCTAGAATGTATTGTAAATAGTGCTAAACAGGTGTTAAATAAACCACAATCGCTTTTGCAATTTGCATGTACAACAGGTAGTTAGAAATCGCATGAAAAAGAAGAAAAAAGTGCTATAAAGTAGCTGCTGATACAAAAAATGTGCAGGATGGAGATCCTGCAGTTCCTAAAACTATCGGCGGGTCTCATTTCTACAACACCCCCTAACATCCACTCTAAATTGATGCTGAGCAAGTATTGGGACCATCTGATTGCAATAGCAGGGTCAGAGTGCAGGTTTTGAACAGCCCCCAGGTTCCACAGCGTGGCTCCTCTCTGAAGTGACATCCTCTACTTCCCCTCCACATCCCCCAAGAAAGGGAACATCAAAGGATACCCAAACGAGGGTCGGGGCTGATGGCTTTGGCAGTGCTCCTCTGGTTTGCTTTTTGCAAACAGTTAAGCACCCTCGGTATTATATGAAATATATTAAGTGTTAATGCAAAATTTAAAACACATTAAAATTCAACTTTGCAGGCCTCGCCGTTGATCTCTTTGGAACAATCCCTATTTTAATGATCCATGGATAAAGGCAGGAGAGGACGGAGTTCTAACAGGATTTAGGGCAGCGAGCTTCTCCTTCTGATTCTGCCAATAACTGTTTGCAGAATCTTGAAAAATCATGTAATCTTTCTCTAACATCTCCCTGTTTGCAGATGATTGAACTTTATTATGGTATGGAAGTGTTTTATAGGCTATATATTGAAGTGTGGATTCCAGATGTCTGTTGGAGCAAGTGCATTATTAATCCATAATCCTGAGGAGATATATACATATCTCGACCTTTCAGCCAAGATTACTCAATCTTAAAATTAAATACATGTGTACATCTGTAGGATTGAGGTCAGAATACAAGATAAATGGATGTTACTAGAGAATCATCAGACAAAAAACACATCATCCATCCATGCTGCAAAAGTCTACCAAAAGAGACAGAACAGAGACATAAAAGAAAATCAACTCATTTTTCTAAATATTTTTTTTTGGACATGGACAATCTGAGACTCTTGGTGTATCAAGCAAACCCACCAAGACTGTATCCATCACATACACCTGGAAACATCAGAGCACATTATGGAAGTGTGGAAGTAAATGTTTCAGAAACAACACAGTTTCTATCTACAGATGTCCAAAAATAGAAGACACTTTTTAAAGCTTGTTTTAAGACAGAAATTATACCTATTCAACTACAGTTCATTATACCATGGAAATAATCTGTGTGTCAGTAACAAAAAACCTATCCCAAACTTAAAATAACTGGGGGAAAAAATGGGGAGGGGGAATGTGTAGGTTGTGGATGATGAGAATGTCCATATCCACAGCTGCATTAGACAGGATAAAAACATTTAGAAGCAATATTAAATTCCTATGCTTTGTGCTGGCTGGTGAGGGTTGAGGCTGGTTTTCCCTCTGGGCAGATCATGGCACAGTTTTCCAACAGTGCCCAGAGCTGGGCCCCATCCAGCAGTGCTTGGATGGGACATCCCAGGGCTGACACAAGACTGGCCTTCTTCACAGTCAAAAATAAGGGAAAAACACATCAAAATGCTGTGCTTTTTTGGCACTGTGATATAGTGTCAAAACCACAGCATCTGCTGTGGAAAGGGGGTGGTGATTATTGGGAACGTGGCTGGGTTGAACTCTGAAAAAAACACTAAAACTTTTTTGCTGGATGTTAATGTAGTTTAAATTATTTAAGATCTAATCATGCCAAGGCACTGGATCCTGACCTCGTTAGCTTGGAACTGGGAGCTGTCATTTAATTAATGTTGTACTGCGGGGCTCATGCTGAAACCAGAGCTGAAGTTCTCTGCTGGGGAAGCCTCTATGAAGACACAGGATCATTTCACCCCACTGAGCTTTAAAAGTTCCCATTGCACAGAATGGACTGGACTAATCTTAAAACATTTTTAAAAATACTGTGTATCCTGTAAGATCTACCACTCTATACTTTCTTTACCTTGGGTTAGGATGGAAGATGAGATATTTAAGTATTTCTCTGTTTTATGAAGGAAGCTGAAATACAATTTTTCTAGACATGGTAGATCAAAATCTTTCCTCTGCAGAAATTCCATTAACTAAACGTTAAGCTCTACTCTAGATGAGATTTGCAAAGATGTTTCCCTTAACCTCCCTGGGACTGCTGGCAAACCTGTATTTGCCTTTGCAAGTTCAAATGTGTTGTTTTTAATGCAGATCTGCCATGACTTCCACTTTGTGCTGGCTTGATTCGGGTTGGGTGCAGTAACAGGAACAAATGGAAGTGCTGATTTGCATGTGAAGCTGGAGATCCGTTTTAGCAAAGCTGCTCTGCCAGGGCAGCACCTCGGTGTGCTCAGCACCGGATCACATTAATCACAGGGTACTCAGCGAACCTATTCAGCCTCCTACAGAAAATACAGAAGTACATTTTTAGCAGAAAAAAAAGAACTGTGAGTATCCTTGTGACAGTGTACAGATTTCTCAGGGCTTTCTGGAAAGAAACTTGGACTTCTGCCACCTGCTCCGATTGTGTTCATGCATAAATGATCCAGAGAACGGGTTGACATTACCTCTAATTAGGGGTAATAACTGCCTGCTGCTGAAAGGGCCCGTTCCCTTTCTCTTGCATGTACATCCCTCACTTTTCCTGCATTAGGTCTGGTGGTGATGCAGCCACGGGGAGAGTCAGTTCAGTGACCCAATCCGGCAGAAAACTCAGCCATTAAGAAACAAAAAATAAATTCATTAGGTCAATCCATCGAAGCTCTGCAGCCATTTGATCGGTGTGATCCACAGGCTGGAGAGGGCTGAGATGAAGGGAGAGGGCAGGATACACCCTTTTGGTGGCCTTCCGCAATTGCACGGGTCACAGGTGACAGCAAACCCCGGCCCTGAGCCCCAGCGTGACTTCAGAAGAACTCCCTGAAGCATTTCTAAGAGTTAATTAAGCATGGCTGACTCTTTTAGTTTCAGCTCACTCTAGAGTGGCAGTGTAGAGGTGTGTCATAATGAGTAATAGAGTTGGAAATAATCTATCCTGTTTAGTTTGCAGCTCAGATGGAGCTGTAAAATGGACAGAAAGGGGAAAGGGTGAACTGCTGTGGTCCTCATGTTGATCCTTACTGTATTTTTTCTGTTTAACAAACTGATTTTTCTTTTCTTTCTTACAGGAAGGGAATGCTTCTTTCAAAGCTACAACACTGAGGCTTGGAATCTCAAAATGACACATGGGTCTGATTTGGAAAAGGGCATGAGATGAAATGCCTTTGCTCATTCTCCAGGTCCTTTTTCATGCTGTTTCTCTGAATGAAATACAAACTCAGCAGAACCTCAGTGTTTAATGTTGTATCTTTCAAAGCCCTTTCCAATAAACAGGAATAAGAGTGATGGACAGGAAAATAGAGGAACAGTGAGTTGAAATAGTCTATTTTAATACAATTATTTAGAAAAACTCTTGAAGTCCTTGTCAGATGTATGTCTCCTGCAGGTGGTTCTTTTATTTAGAGAAATCTGATTTTAGGGAACAGGTCAAGACCTAGTGCAGTAGTACTCCCTCATGATGTTACAGTTCAACCATAATTTTGCACAGAAACAAGAAGAAATAGTGAACAATCCACACTGGTTATGTACTTGTACATAAACATTTGTCATAGCTTATGAGCAGCAATGCAAAATATTTTTAAATATGTAATTCCACAGGACAGGGACTTAAATGTTTTTCTGAGATGTGGAGGAAGTTCTAGTTACTGTTTTTGATGGTTATCATATCTTCCAAGAAAAAAGTGATAAATCACAATTGGTTTGCTCTTAGCCTCAGGCACCAGTGGGAGACAGAGATCTTCTGTTCTGGGTGGGTTTTGTTTTTTTTGGTTTTGGTTTTTTTTGCTTTTTTTTTGAAAGAAAGAATAGTGTTTTGTAATCACAGATTCATTTAAGTTGGGAAAAACCTTTAGGATGATCAAGTCTAACCACAAAGCTAACACTGCCAAATCCACCTCTGGACTTCAACTCAAATGGATCCTACAAAGAAGTACTGTCACCCAAAAAAGAGAAAGATTGTGGCCAAAATTCCGTGGAGTAGGTGATAGAACAGCAGAGGCTTTTATGGAAAGACAGTCAAACTCATTCTTCTACCGAGGTGTTTTAATGCCCCGTAGATAAAAGTCTCACCCGAAGTTGTTTATAACAAGAGGACTGTGTTTATTTCCTGAGAAGGGAATGAGATCAAATCTACATGGTACAGGGAATGCCTCTGAAGACTTCAAATCCTTCAGATTATTTTTCTTGGATGTTTTCATTACATCTTTTTAAAAAGAATGCCTTGGACATGAAAAGCATCAAGTGACCTTGTTGGTATCGATTGTCGTTCCCTTTGTTGTGCTTAAGAAGTGAAGAATCTTGCAAATCACAAAGGTGTGAAGAACAAAACAAAAATGTTAAAGACAATCTGCTGTGATTTTCCTACTTGTAAATAAGGTGGGAAATGTCAAAACAATACAAACTAACGATGCTTTTGATTGCTCATGGAACTAGCATGGATTCATCTCCTAGGTGACCATCCATATGCCTGTTAATAGTAAAAGTATCCTTGTTGAGTATTATTCGTATTGTTAAAATCACATTTTTCTTAACTACGAATTGATAGCAACAGGTTTGCTTCTCACACATCCCTAAAGTCTCCTGATGCACAAATTTGATGTGGCGCAAGCAGTGTATTACCTCACCTTTTCAGAAATCACCTTCAAAACTCTGCCAAGTATTCCCTAGGGAGTTCTGCTCTACACCTCACTTTTTCCTCTGTAAAACACAGAAAAAATGAATTACAGTTTAAAGGGTGTATATGAACCTGGTAATAAAAAGTCTTTCAACACTGGCATGTGTAGATGTTGAAATGTTCTGCTTAATCAACCTTATCAAGTGCTTGCTGATAAAGGAGGGTTTATCAAGAGCTCTGGGCCTACGAAATGTTGTGAAAAACCTGAACTACGTGACAAAGTAGTGACTGAGCTCGGTCAGTTTTCATTAGAAGAGAGGGTGGGTGTTCTAACCGGTCTGGATCCACGTCTTCTGTCCAGTCCGGACAGGTGTAGGTTGGATGTTTAAGCATTTTAGGACGGGGGACTACAGAAGGAAGAGGCTGAGGCACAGTTTTGTGTTTTGTTCTGAGGGACGTGTTAGAGGTACACCCCATCCTGTCGGCCCTGGGAGAGCGCAGAGGCTCCCGTACGGGGCTCAGGGGCACAAACCCACCGGAAACTACAGATTCCCGTCAGCTGCACTCGGGCTGAGCTGCTCACGTGGGGAACGCGGCGGGGGCTCGGCTCGGGGCTCGGGGCTCGGGGCTCGGGGCTCGGCCCCCCGGCCCGCCATGGGGTGTTAGCGCGGCCGGGCCCGCTCCGCCGGAAAGAGCCGCCACCGCCCGCCGGCCCCGCTCCGCCTCGCCTCGCCTCGCTCCGCTCCTCCGCCCCGAGCCCATGAGCCTGAACGAGCACTCGATGCAGGCGCTGTCCTGGCGGAAGCTCTACCTGAGCCGAGCCAAGCTGAAAGCCTCCAGCCGCACCTCCGCGCTGCTCTCCGGCTTCGCCATGGTGAGCCCCGGCCGGGCCCGGCGGGCGGGGGGTGGCACGGGGCCGGGCGCGCTGCCGCCGCTTCTGCTTCTCCCGCCGGAGCCTGCTGCGGTGAGGACGGGGGGGCCGGGCCGGGCCCGGGCGCTGCCCCCGGAGCGCCCGGCCCGCCCCGGGCAGCGCTCCCGGCAGCGCGCTTCGGTAGCTCGTTTGTTTTGGAGCGCTTCGTGGCACGAGTTCAGAGCCGCCTCTCGGCTTTTATCTCCGCCAGATAATTCAAGATTTGTTTGGTTGTTACGTATTTTCCCCGTGGAGGATGCTCGGGCAGAAGCCGCGGTGCCTGCCGCGTGTGCCGTGGGCAGCTCCGCGGGGTGCGGGGTCACCGCGCCGCGGTGCGGGTGCCGCGCACGGAGCCCCGCGGCGCTGCCCGGCGTGCGGGGTTTCCATCCCGCTCCTCTCAGACCGCAAGCTTGGAGCAGCTGTTGCGCTGCAGCTGCTTTTAAATAAACCAAGAAATGCAGCTGATTAAAGTTTGTGGTGCCGCTCAGGCTCATCCATCATCAGTCTTTGCAGTTGCGAGGTTTCTAGTTTTTATTTAAGGAAAACTTGAATGTTACTTGGTTTGGAATTTTGTGCGTGATTTAGGACCTTTTTTTTATTCATGTGTGTTGTTTTCTTTCGAGTTTGATGTGAAGCGCACTCTGGTTACCCGAATTATGTCATATATGGAAGTTCCATATAATTTGAAATACAGTAACTCACAGACTTCCTCATCTGCCCAGACATCTGACATGTAAAGCTGCAAACTCTGCCCTCAGCCCCTTTATGCAGCTGGTAAAAATGCTTCACGGTTTATAAATTCGCAATTTCACTCCTCTGACTTGCTTTATTTTGATTTTTTTTTGCCTCGCTTTTAACAAACTGATTATTTTCAGCCGTTGAATCTGCTCCTTTCCAGAGCCATTGTTCCAGTGATGCTGTTGGAAAACACAGCAGCCTCCTGACGGTCAAGTAAATGTCACTGTCCTCCTTCAATGGCTAAAAACAGAGCACAGCTCTCGGGGAGGTGGCGGAGCGCTGCCCGGGTGACTGACAGGCGGCTGTGTCGCTTCTCCTTGGGTATCGCACCCGGCTGGAGCTCACACGCCGCCTCTGATCACGACTTTTCCTTGTTCAGCACCCGTTCTGCCTCTCAGAGCAGTTTGTGCCTGCTGGAGTCAGCCCTTTACATTGAGAGAGAACTAGGAAAAAATGTAGTTTCTCGGGGTTTATAAATTTTCTAAGGGAGGTTGCATCTCAGTGTAAATGCTGTTGTTTTAAGGTTGTACTTAACGTCTTGAATTCCTTGGTTGTTCTCTAAATATATGGTACATGGACTCAAAATCCGTGGATGTATAAGGCTTCTATTTGTTTCTTAATTCCCTAGAATTCTAGGGGTTCAGTCTCCTGCTGTTGAAAACTGCTGCTTTTGAATTTGTTGCTAGGGTATTTCAGGAAAAAGCCACTTCGTTCCAATTGAGAAAATCTCTAATTGCTATGAATGTTACATGTGAACATTCGTATTTAAGTATTTCAAAAAAAAAATCCACTTTTTTTTTTTTTTTCTTCTTCCTTTAACAAGTTCAGCATGGAAATCCACCCGTAGTCTCTTTGCTTTTGCAGTGACAGACCTAGTCCTAGTCTTCTAGCTTAGACTTCCTAATCTTGGTTCAGAAGAGCTGAGTTAACTTTCGAGCATTTTTAGATGTCTTTTAAAAACTTTGCTGATCTTTTAGAGTGGTTCCTGTGCCTTGAAAAGCTGGGCTGTTCTCTCACGCCTGTGCGTTGTTTACTGGCTGCAGTTCTTTGGCACCTGATACTCGAACAAAACGCTGCTGAAGTACATTCTAGTCTTGGATCAAAGCTGGCAACAGCAATGAAGGGTCATTGTTCCTCTCTTTTCCTTATCAGGCGAGGAAGAAAGAGCTGAAGTGACAGATCCAGGACCACCCAGTGAATTGATGGGAATTGTCAGGAGTGGAATGTGCTGGTTTCCATGCCAGCCCCAGAGATCCTTGCTCTTTGATTAAAGACTGCTTGCATCCTCTAGTAGAAGCTAAGTTTATCCCCGTTGAACTGCTCCCTTTTCAGGGAATATTTTTATGTCTAGTTGCAGCTATTTTGCAGAGTTGATTCCCTCAGGATTGGTGATGTACCCTGGTGGAATGAGGCATGCCAAAGGCAAGGCATTGCTCGGGTCAGTGGGGTGGAGTATGAAACACTCAGCCAGGTTTCAAACCCTGAAGTGTTACATTTCCTCAGAGAAGATTAAAAGCCTGTTTTACAGTTAGTTTTGTTTCAGAGCTCCACTTCGGGATTTGCTACCGTGTGTGGGCTTCAGAAACAGTTGCAGGGACTGGTGATGGCAACTGATGGAGAGCTGAGCTCGCCCCAACCTGAGCATTTCCTTCACTCAGGTTTCCATGGATGCTATCATCAGTGCCATATGTCAGAGGGAAAATCTGTGAAGTTTATAACCTCATTTAGTACACTTCTCCAATTTATGGAGCCAGCTAGTAGTATCAATCCCCCAAATTGTTAGAGGTGGGGAAAGAAATTGTAGATTGTAGGGGATGTGTAGTGCATTAAAGAATGGAGGATTCATTACATATTCTGGTGGGGGCATCAGATATTTCTCACTTCTGTATTATAGCCTAGATATTGTTGCATGATCTTCCTTCTCATGCTTGGCTTTATCTGTTTTTATTTTTTGCAGTAATAGGCTGCTGGCAGGTTATTTTTGTCTGAACAATTATTCTGACTTGTTGGCATCATTTTGTCACCAGGGATGCATAACACAGTAGCATGACAATTTTACAATATGGGAGTCAGAAACCATAGGAAAGTTGTTAAATGCCACTAGCTGTAAAACCAGAAGATTCAACATCTCCTCCTGCCACTAATTAACAGTTTTGTGAAAAGAACTCAGTCAGAACTATGGGTCTGAATTGTACACTGTGGTTGGCTTCCTTACATGTAGGATTCAGAGGTTGATATTTACCAGCCAGCTGTTTTCTTTTAGATACCTCTAGTGGTCCAAGCTGGCTGGGCTTTGTCTAGATGGGGTATGTATGCTTCAAATATTGAATATCATCAAAGAACTGTCAACTCTTGCCTTTGAAATCTGGCCAGTGTGGTCTCCTGAAGACAGCTTCAGTTATGTTCTGCAGAAGACTGACTGCTGAGATAAATATTTATGAAATTGATTTCCATGATAACAGTTGGTGCTGAGATAAGGTTAGGTGGGACCTGGGGCCACTGGTGTCAGCTGTACAGGTGTCTTTGTCTAGTAAAGGTCACTTGGATGCTCTAAATACCAAAACAGTCTCTGTAGAAGTTTTTAAGTGGTATTTAGCTGGGTTGCTGGTAGATTAGCATTAAACAGTGGCATTTTGCAACCTGCAGTAAAGAGTTACAGGCCCAGTTTTGTGGCTTCTGCTTCCACTTAGCCTTCTGTAATGCTGCTGCACTTACAGGTTACAGCTGTGCTGGAGAATCTTCCCCCGTGCAAAAAGTTTCTTCTATTTCAGTCACAAAAGGAAAGTTTTGTGCCTCCTTTAGCATCCCTGTTTCTGTTGTTGAGAGCAAGGCAGGCAGCGTGGAGTGCTGGGGGCTCCTGCTGTTCTGTCTTGGAGCAGCTGTGGGTGGCTGCTGTAGTTTGGAGGATGTAAAGAGGAGCCTCTGGATAATCTGAACTTGTGCTTACTGAATGGATTTGCTGTAAGTTATTCTGTGTAGAAGGGTATTACCTCCTTAAGATGCATTTCCTCCAGTCACATGGGTATTGCCTTTTCATGTTTCCTGGCAAAATAATATGAGATCCTGTATTTGTATTCCAGTGTCAGCATCAGCAAATATTAATGTGTTTTGCCATTCTGCAGCAAACAATAATCTCCAGAGTAAAAATCCTGGACTAATGGATGAATGATGCTTAGTTTCCCTTCTATGAAACCAGTAAATAAGATCATTATTTTGACTTATCTGTTTTTAATTTCCGGTGAGTTATTCTGGCTCATACAGAGCCTCTGTATGAGTTGTTTATAACTCTTTATGAATGGTGCAGACAGTCTGTGAGAGCCTGGCTCTGTGCCTCTGTCTCTGGAGTGAATTGTACTGTCAGGAAAACAGGGAGCCAGCCAGAGGAGCTGATTCCCAGTGATGCTTTGACACTCAGCTCATTATTGAGTTTCCTCTGTGGTCCCACCCATAGACAAGCAATGATGGATGGGCCCTCAAAAATGCAGTTGTGATGTTTGAACAACACAGCTTTCTTTTTTGCCATTCCTGATGTGCTAGACTGTACAAGATGCAGTCCCACTACAAGGTTATATTCCCACCAGCCTGAGCTCAGAGACATCTTTGTGGGGAAAAGAAGGAGAGGAAGTAAATAATAAATAATAGCTCATAAATAATACAGATTTACTTGAGATAAAGCATTTTGTTTCCTTTTCTCTACAGCACTGTCTACTGATCTGAAAAACATGTAAGCCTGTGATTTTAATTTATGAGCAGGGGCTTTATTTAAGCCTCTCTGGTCTAATAAGACATGGGAGCCTTATGAATAAGTAACTGAAATAAACTTGGTCAGTATACTGAACTTAAAAAGAAGTTGAAGTGCAGATTTTTCTAGAGGGCAAGTTGTTAAATTTCCATTCCTTTACAATATGGTTGTAATCAGGCTGCTGTGACTTTAAAATCCAGGACTGTTGAAGGCTTAACACTGTTATGTGCCAAAATTCAGTTATCTTCTAAAAACACCTGAATGCCCACCATTTTTAGGCTTATGAGAGCTTCAGTCTTGTGTCCTAATGTCATGAGTCCTTTAGTTTTGTCAAGAAGCTGTACTTCAGATGTACAGCTTTGTCAAGAGCCATAGTAAATCTGTCAGTCATATCTGTAGGATGACCTGAAGTTAAAGTTAGCTCTTCTTTGAACCAGGGATTAGCCCAGATGACCTCTTGAGGTGTCTTCCAGCCCACGTTACACTGTGATTAGGCAGCAAGGAAGGGCACTTGCAGCACGGCAGCTGCACGGTCAAATCATGCAGCAAGTGTTCAGAGGAGCTTTGAAAGTGGTGGAGGATAAGGAGCTAAAAGTGTTGTATTGGAAAGTGTGCAGCCACTGACAACAGTTCCTGCCCTGAGCAGCTCTTCTGAACGAGTAGAGCAGGAACATATCCTGCCTGGAACGCTGGAATGTACCTGTGAGTTCAGGCTTTGTGTGAATTTGGATCATATCAGGTGACCTCATCAGGGCCCTGTTCTTGCAGGTATTACTTTACAAGAGCAGTTGAGATCTGTTTATTTTGAAATTGCAGCATGAGCAAAGGAGGCAAGAACTTCTGACACTTTGTGTCTCTGTTAGAAAACAGGCACAGGCCTGGTGAAAAATGAAACTTTTTGTTTTAGGTGCCTGGCTCAAGCTTGGCCCAGGAAGGAAACTCGGAGCTGAAAAGAGTTGGCAGTTTTTCTGCTAGTTTACATTGAAAGAGTTCCCAAATTAGCTTTGCTGAGAGTTTGAGGAGACAGAAAACATGAACTGATTTTTTCCTTAGGCTGGGGTTACTCTGCCAGACATGAAACAAGGAGCTCAAAATCAGATGCTTGGTATCATTAGTATGGAGGCGTTGATAAATGGAAATATAAAATGTCTTCAATGTTTGGCAAACTAAACTCAATCAGTTCTTAAAATAAAATAAACTCTTCATCTTGTGAAGCTCTTTAGTGCCATGCTTATGTTATCATACTAAGAACTAGGATAAAGGATTAAAGTGCCTTGTCATGCTGGATGGCTTTGAGTCTAGGCACAGCAGAAGACTTACAAGAAAAATCTTTAAGTATGAAAATGAATCCTCAGTGGTGAAGGATTGCAATTGTTCTGTGAAAAATGCAGGAAGCCCAACATCCCTCGAGTACATTGCGACTTAACAAGCAATCCTGCAGAAGAGAGACCTGACAAGCAAATGTTTATCCTCTCAATCATGAAGTTTTCCACAGCTGAAAAATGGTATTTTTAAATCCTTGAGCAAGGACTGTATATGCATTAATATAATTTCTTGTTGAGTTTCTCAGAACACTGGGAAACTGCTTGCTAGTTGGCTGGGTTATTAGGCTTATGACAATAAAAGCTTTCAATAAAGGAATTAAACAATTGGCAAATGGCCTCGAATGCCTGTTGAAACACGTCTGAGCAAAGCTCTGGGTTGCCTTAATGTATTGGGTGCATTAGTGATTAAGAGTTCTGGTGTCCTGGAACATGCGTAAGGAGATGGGATCCAGGTTAGCTTGGCTCAGCCCTTGCAAAATAGTGAGGGTTGGATGTTCCTGCTGCTTTTGCAGCTGTCTTTGAGCCCTGGTTTCCATGCCTCCCTGCACCTGTATTACCCATGAATCTTTCTTTCTATCAGCTTGATATGCTTATATTTCAGATTACTGTCAGGTTTTTTCCTCTGCATTTTGCCTGTTTAATGAGTTCATTTGAGAAAGAGCACTGAACGTAGAAACCTTTGTGCATTATTCCCTCTTTGGAACTATCCTTTGTCTGAAAGGCAAATTTATCAGGAAAGATCATTTCAGGAGAGCTGTTGGGATTAATGTCACTCATCAATTGCACATATGCACAAAACCACCTGGCAGTTTTAAAACCAGCTAAAAGGCATTCTAATTAATTTTATTTGTCAGAATGATTCCAGCTGGTTTTATGAGTTTCCTAGAACTGGTATTTAATCTGATTTTTTTTTACTCCTTAGGCACAGGCATGCTTGGAGATCTAAGGTTACAAGAAGGTCATGGCTGCATGTGTTAATGGAGGGCTGGAACATCTTCATGAGTAGCCCCATCTTTGGGGGAGCACTGATGTCTGAAAGCACTGTGTTATCTTTGCTGGAGAGGTTGCCTTTCCCCCAGCCTCCAACAGGCTTGCTCAGCTGCCATGGGTATTGTGGAGACTCACATTTTGAATCTGTGTTCCAGAGTCTGCTTAAATACTTGAGTGAAAGAATATAGCTGAGAGCCCCAATGAAAGGTGATCTTTCTCATGAAAGATTTCTGCACTTTAGAACTTAAACCCAAACAGCCAAGGAGAAAGGACCACCGAGGTTGTTTCAGGCAGTCCCCTGCGTTCGCAGCCTTTCACAGATACTTCAAAAGACTTCATAAGTAAAGATCAAAAGCTGTGTCTTCAATATAACACAAAAGAAGAAATATTTAACTTAAGGAGCCCAAGGATGCTGTTCATAAGGGCCAGCTGTTTTGCTGGCATGAGCTGGAGGTGGCAAGGTGGTTGTGGGTCTGCTCTACAACAGAACAATAAGTGTGAAAACAGTGGCCTTTGCTTGCTAGCTCATTAGGTCCTAAATTTGGACCTAATGAAGAGGGTGCAGATTGACATGAAGAGAAATGTAATACAGACTTACTTTGTTTGGATCAGATAATCTTCCAGAAACATGGTGTAAACTTTGAATAACCTATAGTCAAATAAAATAAGATGTAGGTAACTGCATCTCCCTCTCCCTTCCTTTTCAGGTGGCTATGGTGGAAGTTCAGCTTGACCCAGACCACGACTATCCTCAGGGGCTCTTGATTGCCTTCAGTGCCTGCACTACTGTGCTTGTTGCAGTTCATCTTTTTGCACTCATGATAAGTACCTGCATCCTTCCAAACATAGAGGCTGTTAGCAATGTGCATAACCTCAATTCCGTCAAGGAATCTCCTCACGAGCGCATGCACCGGCACATTGAGCTCGCCTGGGCGTTTTCCACTGTCATTGGGACTTTGCTCTTTCTTGCAGAAGTGGTGTTACTATGCTGGGTGAAGTTCCTTCCTTTAAAGAAGAAAACTGACAACACCCCGCAGAGCAACAGTTCTACCATCACATCAGGACAGGCAGCAGCCATTGCATCGACATCCATTATGGTGCCCTTTGGATTGATTTTCATTGTGTTTGCAGTCCACTTCTACAGGTCACTGGTGAGCCACAAAACAGACAGGCAATTTCAGGAACTCAATGAACTTGCTGAATTTGCACGGCTCCAGGATCAGCTGGATCACAGAGGTGATGCTGTCACCTCAGCTGTCACCAATTTTGTGTAAACCTGTGCTTAAGAAAATAAACCCACTCTTCTGCTTCTGCCTTATGGTGACTCCCTGTGGATGAACTGGTTGAACTGCTGATTACCGTTTAAAGAATAATTATAAATATTGTTCTAACCCTTTAGAGAGGGGAAAAATGTTCCTTTCATACCTACAAGTTTTGCTATCTGAAGGAATGGTGGGTGTGACTGCACTGTGTGTGCAGCCCTCCTCCTGTGAACACTGTCTCGCATCTTTCTCGTTAATGCTGAATGGTGGCTGTATAAATACATGGAAAATAACATTGTACATTTGGGTATTTGTTAGGAATGGGTAGAGAAGTTGTGGATTTTTTTTCTCTGTTTATCTGATGTTGGCATTTACTAGAAGATACTGCTTGTCCTATCCATATTGCATGGCATGATACAAATTACTTGGGACATGCAGCAATTAGCGCTCGGTTTCAGTGCTGGTGCTGCTCTCCCTGGAAAGCCTGACAGATGGTAGGAGTGAAAGCTTTCCCAGCACTTTCCCCAGTATGTTTTGCTGCCAAGTAATTATTACTTTGCTGATTTCTCCAGTGCCTTTTTCCCGTGGCACTTACACATTTTGTAACTTGCTAAACACACAGGACTAGACTTACTGCGATGTGGTGTGGCCACAGGAGTAGGAATGAGACTCGACTTTTCTCTTCCATGGAAGAAAATAAAAGCAATAACTGTTTTAAAGTTCTCATGAGCTGGCACATACTATCCAGAGAGATAGATTTGCCTGTTTCTCTTTTAAGAATCCTTTTTTAAAAAGAAGGAACTAGATGGAAATTATCACTGGATTTTTTTGCTTGAAAATCAGAACCACTGCTGTTTTTTTCCAAGCCAAAGTAGTAATTATTTTATACTTTTATATTGAAAATATATTTTTAATAAATCCTCAGAAGCAAGCAGCAAAAGGTGCTTTCTCTGTGTTGGATTCCCAAGTAATTAGCTATGCCTTGGTCTTCCTTGTTTAGAAAAGTGTTCTCCTTGCTGAAGTGTTGTATTTAATAACTCATTATACATTTTTGCTTCCAGAGGATCTGGAAGACAACTTTTCTTGATGTATATTTATGTATGAAAGTAGGTTATTTGTAATTAATACTGCTGCTTTCTTTCAGACACCTCTGTGACAGCAAGGCTACTGTGTTGTTCATTTCCTCTAAGCAAAAACCTCCATTTAGTCTCCTAGATAAGAGGTTTGGCCAAGAAAGATTCCAGCAGTTGTCCTGGGCTGCTTCAGTAATTCTGGCTATGTCTAGGAGTTGAATTTTTTGGAGCACAGTTCTGTAGAGCAGCTCTGGGCTTTAATGGGTAAAAGCTGGTTTTTGAACACAAACTGAGACAAGTTTCAAGCCAAAGGGGAAAAAAAAAACCAAACCAGCTATCACTAGTCGTAGCTATCCCTGTGGAATAGAAACCTGGGATTTTGCCATGAGACAGGAGGGACTGTGACAGTCCAGTGGAGCTGTGCCTGACAGCCTGGGCTGAACATGGGCTCTTACACCAACCTCCATCTCAGGATATTCCAGCATACTTGCAATCTGCACCAAGTGCCTGTGGAGTTCAGGTGCAGAGTGTGGTCACTACTGAAGCAGATGGGAACTGATCTCTCCTGTCAGCAGCACTGCAGTGCAAAGTGTTGACAAGGTCACCTGGGCTGCCTTTGTATTCTAAAAACATAACTGTAAAAAAAACCCACAAAAACAAAAACCAACCTGCTGGTCTCTGTGGGTTTTTTTTCAGCAGCAGTTGTGGTTCACAAGCAGCAAACAGCTTGGTGTTTTCACCTGTGAAGTGAAAGTCCTGGCATACAGAGGCCAAACTGGATTTTCTCAGCTCTGCCATTACATGCTTCAAATATATTCTATTCCTGATGTAAATCTGATGGTGAGGATTGTAACTACAGACTCACAGGTTTTGTTCATGGAGCACTGGAAGCATTGCTTTAGTAAAGGCAATAAGGAAGCAGCATTCCAAACCACAAAATGTTGGTAGTAGGCACAAAATGTATTTTCCCATCCAAGACAGAACTTTACCAGTTCTGTCTTGGGGAAGCAGGCCCCTAAAATCTCCCACTAAAAGAAGAAAACCTGACCTGGTATTCATACCAGAACAATTGATTGGAAGGGTGTGGTCAGGTGTAAAAATTTTACTTCTGTCTGTAAATTCTGTATTTAGAAGTTATATGGTTTTGAATGGAAGTCCAGAAGATCAGTTTTCTGAGTTTATTTTGTAAAATTCCTTGCTGTTCTGGATAAGTAGCAGAATTTTGATTTGTGGATCTTTTACAAAGTGGCTGAGAAGTGTGGGATTTTCTTGTTGTTTCTGGTGCACGGAATGAGAAGCTAGTGAGACATGGTTATTTTTAGTTTTCTCAAGCTGGTAGGCTCTGAGCTAATGGCACTGTTATTACAGCTAATTTTCTGACTATTTTCTGCACTTTAAGCCATGATATCAAGTATGTTTTTGTCATTTTCAACCTGTGGAAATGGTCATGAAAGTTACTCCTTGGGTACCTTTGTCACTGTGTACCCAGGCAGTAACCAGACACAAACACATGGATCTAAACATTGAGTGCACTTAAAATTTTTTGTCCCTTATTTATACTAACGGTGTTAGGCATTTACCTCAATCATTTTAAACATTGGTTATTGTATATCACTTATTTGGGTATAAAATACTTTCATGAAATAAAATATACTCAATTGTTGTGGATTATTTTTTATCTAGAGGCCTAAAATATACTTATTAACTGAAACATGATCTGTTGTAACTTCAAAAGGCATTTGGGGTCACAGGTATGTATTGGGCTATGTTTGGGCAGAGGGGAGGACACAATTACTTGATTGTATTTTTCTATGTGCTTTTAAAACACATACTAGAAACCCTCCTTCTCTAAAGCAAAGGCCTTGAAACCACCAGGAGTGTGATTTCTTAGCAGGAGGAATAAGAGGAGCTGAGCAAAGAGTCACTCTGCCTCTCTTCCATCCTGTTGGTGCTTGTCTTTTGGGTTTTTCCCCATTAATTTTTTTTCCTTTCTTTTCCAAAATAATGGGGATGGGAGGAGGCTACTGAGCAAAGCCACCTGCAGAGGGAAGTATACCTGCAGAGCCTTGAGGGAAGGATGAGGCCGACTGCAACACAAAAACCACGGTGTGGGTTTGACACTCGAAGGAATAAATAACCCAGGATCGTGTTCTTGAATTTTTTTTTCTTCATCTGGTTATTAATTGTGGCTGTCATCAAACATTGCCCGGGCCTCTGCTAAAACAGCAGCTGGATCATGTAATTTAATCTAAATAAAAAGAATACAAATCAGTTATGCAGTGTTATTGAAGAAGCTTAAGGTTTTATAGATCTTAATTTCTTCAGCATTATTGGAGAGTCTCCCACGTATCAGGACTTCAGCTCATATTGCAGCCTTTTAATTATTTAGAAACAACTACACTCCCCTAATTTTATTAGTGTGCTGAACACCACTTTATCTCCTTGAAATAGCTCTGTGTGGGTGACTTTAACAAAACACACTCTTGGGCAAAAGTGCCTTTGATTTGTAGCCTGTTAGGCCTCACCTATAATTTTAATAAAGGGGGTGGTGGTGACAAAAATTTATGAAAACCTGAATTCAGTTTTTCTCCTTTTATCAATTACTTCATATTCTAAGATCAACAGATCTCTACCCATTGAAAGCACAATAACAGCAGTGAAAGTTTATGCTTTGCTTTTGCTTATAGAGCAGAAGAGGATTGGATCATCACTTGGTTTTCAGGGAGTTAAATAAACAGCCAGACTTGCACATCCTGCCTTAGGGTACCAGTAGTTCATCCCAGGCTGTTGGATTGTTGAGGCTCTTCTCAGTGACCTTTGACAAACCACATACAGTAAATATTTTTAGCCACAGAAGTGCTGCTCCTTTCACTCTTTTTGCAAAATAGAGATTGTTTTTCTCTGGTGTGTATTTGGGGTTTATTATTCTGCACTGCTGTAGGTGTGCTTGGTACTTACAGGATTAACTGACTCGTCAAAATTGTGCTCAAAGGGCCTTTGGCTATAGAGAGCAGATTTGAAAAGATAGGAGCAATGAAGATGTGAGCTGTGAGCTTTGGAAGGCTGCATGTGCCTGGTGTCACTTTGAACAGTCCTGTCCCTGGGCCAGAGGAAGGTGGGTGGCCTTACCTGCCATGGGGCTGTGCTGTTCCCTGTGTTACTGGAGCAGAGTGGTGAGCTGTGATTATCCAGGGAGGTTCTGCTTGCCTCTAACTGAAGGGGAGCTTCCCCAGCCCATCCTGCACTGACCATTTTGTTTCACATCTGTGGTTTGCAGCCCATGAGGGTTCAAGCTGAGACTCTTAGGGCCAGCTCTCACTTGGAGTCACATCTGTTCACTGCTGATTCCCATTTCCTCTTCCTCCAAGAGCACAGAGCTGGGGACAGGCTCTCCTGTCCACCAAAGTGTCGTGCAAGGACCCAGTGGCTGCCAGTGGCTTTGTGTCTCACCAGATCTTTGGGATAGGGCCTGGCTCTTCCTCTGCAGTGTGTGTCAGTCAAGGGAAAAGAGGAGCAGAGGATGTGGGCTCTAGGACACCATCTGCCCCCCTTGGGCCCAGGTGGGAAGCTGCACACACCCCTCTGCCCCTGGGGCTGCTGGGCACAGTGGTGAGCCTCTTGGAGGAAAGAGCTGCTGTTGGCCCTGCAGGGTCTGCTCAGCCTCAGCAGCTGGGCTTGGTGAAATCATTTGGTCTTGACACAAATCCCACTATTGTCTGTGCTCTATTGTCCCCATTTCCTTTGTGCTGCATCAGGTCTCTGAGCAGTTCTGGTGCATGAGAACTGCATTTTTTCAGATGTAGGCAATTGGGAGGCTCCAGCAGAGGCTGCATGAGCTGTTAGTCCCTATGGGGCCATTTAGGATGCTGCTGGCCAAAAGACTCTGAGCACACACCCCATGGGGGAAATCTCTTGAGAAGTGAAATGCTACCTGGAGAGCTGACCCGAGCACTGATGAATACAAACACTAACATTTCCAAGCAATTACCTCTGGGAGGGGAAGCTCAGAAGGGGCTGGAGCGTTGTCTCTGCCAAAGTCAACCAGAACTCCACACTTTGGTATATCTGCTACCCAGATGCCTTCTAACAGCTGTCCCTTATCTAGGTAGAAGTATTTTCCTGGGCCATGCTTCTTGCCATCTTTCCAACCTCCTTCGTACCGATTTCCATTTGCTGCAATTGAATACATGAACAGACCTTGAAATTTGCACTATTGTGTTAAGGGGTTACAAATTAAATCAATCAACAGAGCAAACCAGCAGAGGAGAAGATGATGTGTTTGGCTCCTCTTAGTAATTTCAAGGTGGCTGTGGTACTGTGTGTCATTTTGATTTTGCAGTGCTCCATTTGCTGTGCCACAGAGGGAGAAAATGCTGCAGAAGGAGCCCACACTTGCTCACTTGGAACCAGGACTCTGCTCACCTGCTGTGTTCTCACAGTGATACTCATTTTTTGCTAACACAAGGAGCCAGTATGCTCAAGGTAAGGGACTGGTCCCTGAGTCACTCTTCACAACATGAAAAATTACAGGACACAAGTTTCAGATTTGTCACTGCAACAAATCACACAGGATCTCTGGCTTGAAGAGGTTTGCTTGTCTGGGCAAGGAACAGAGCACTGATTGCTGTCCAGTCAAAATAATCTTGATTTCAAAGAATACTTTTAGTTAAGTTTTTCCTCAGTGAATTACGGGGTGAGAATTGCTGCAAGAGTCTGAACGGTTCGGGCAGTCAGTTACAGGCTGTTTTTCCAGCTGTACTGCTTCTCTTGGCATTTTTCTGCAAGTTGAGAGAGGCTTTTTTTGGGCTCTCTGCTGCTCTCCAGGAATCCACCCATCCATCACTAACAGGGAAAGCAGAGCTGCAAGAGGAAGAGAGCAGCCTCATCCATGGATGCTGGTTGAGAAAGGGCATCATACCCATGGTGATGCTAGGGGTTGGGATAAATCCAGACCACCCTGCTGTCACTAGGAGTGTCCTCTGCTCACCCCTTTTCCTACATACAGTGTTTCTAAGCCCAAACCCATGGGGATTTCTAACCATGTTAGTGGAAATACCTTTGAGTCTCAGCTGAACTCTGCCATTCTTCATCACAAGAAGTGGCTGAAATACCAGGGCACCCCACACAGTGCTGCAGAGATAGCTGGGACCTGCCAGGATGCTGTAAGGGAAGAGGGGAAAACCAAAAGGCTTCCAGAGAATGTGGCTGCTGGATTGCTCAGGCAGGGTCTGGTTAACAGGCTGGAGCCATGGTGATGGTTATCTACAACTTTAATCTGGTTTTGTGCTTATCTGCAACACCAAGCTGCCTTGTCCATGGCTGGGAGCAGCTTGGCTTCTGCACTCAAGCCACCAAGTGAGAAACCACCAAAACCACAATCCTGGCTGCAAGGAGGGGGCAGTGAACACCCTGACTGCACTGTGGTACCTGGCTGTTCCCATCTGCTCTCCTCCCAGCGCACCAAGGCTGTGTTGCTCACAACCACAGTCCCTGTGGATGTGAAGTGCTCTGGTACAAAGCTGTTGGGGAATGGATGTAGCAGAGGCAGCAGATCAGTGCGGTGCTCTCAGCCAAGCTCACCCTCACCGGGCACGCTGCCACTACAAGCAATTTAATCTTGAGCTGCAGCTCATCATGACCTCCACTGAAGAACTCCTTTTCTTTCACATGGCAAAGCTGCCGGCACGTGGGCGCACTCCCAGCAGCTGAGCTGAATGCATTAAGCTTGTGGGTATGAAATAATTGCTCCGGCTAATTTTAACCAAAAGGAATCCAGCTAACAATCAGTTGCAGGCTAGGCTGGAGGCAACTGAGCTCTGAAATGGTGTATCAGCCACAGCTCAGCCTGCAGGGGTTGTTAGTTTAGAACTAACAGGGCCTTTGACAGAGCACAGCAGATCAGTGCAAGATTCCCCCTGGAAGCAGGTGCTGATTTCATCCAGATGAGCCATCAGTCCAAAGCGACTTCACAGTCAGCCGAGGGAGCACAGTCATGCATGTGGTGTGCAGAGAAGGTCAGGCTCATTCCTCCCAGCTGCTTTGCTTAGCTAATTACTAGCCTTGAGATCACTTTCAAGCAAAAAAAGATAGAATAGATGAATAATAATATTGAGATAATATTTATTCAGATGTTCTTGGAAGCCATGCCTGGTATTGCAGAGATGGTTGGGATTGTTTGCTTTGGGGGAAAATGTGTTAAACTCCAAGGAAAATAAGGAAAAAAGCATTACATTTCTGTATTTATGCTGAGATTGGCCCTAACATTCCCAATCCATTATGTACTTGGGGTTATTTATGGAAAAGGATTGTGTACTAATGAAACCCCTGTGTTCACTCAACACAAGCCACTGTCGGAAGTAGACAGAGGGGATGGAGCAAACTCAAAAAGAAAACTATGTTGTTGTGGTTTTTTCCCTGTGCTGGAAACTGAACTCTTCTTTGGTATTCAGTGCTAGAAAGCCTGTCTGGCAAAGTGCCTGACTTGAAAAGAGAGATTTGCTCTTCTCTGACCCAACAGTATATTATCTCTAACCCGAACCATCCCAGTCATTTAAATGTAAATCACAGCAAAAGTAAGCTTTCATGCGTGTGGGCTTACGGGCTTGAGCAGTGCAGTGCCGGCCCTTGCTCAGCCTGCGCTGCCTCCCGCTCCAGACCAGGAGGGGAGGGATGACACGGAGCAGCCGCAGTCCTGCTGCAAGGCCACAGTGTAGCACAGACATCTGGGTGGCAGAGACACCCGGAGAGCAGCACGACACCAAACAGCTTGGAGGGGGCAGGGTGAGGGTGCTCGGTACTTACGGAGCTGCAGCAGGCCCTGCCCGTTGGGCTGATCTGTCAGCCACTGTCCCTCGTAGGTGGAGCCGTCCTTGTAGTGCATCTTTCCCCAGCCGCTGCGCAAGCCATTGCTCCACTCGCCCTCGTAGAGCTCCCCGTTGGGGTAAAAGAACATCCCCCGGCCCTGGACAGCAGCACAGAGATGCCTGGTTAGGAGCTGCTCTATTGAAAGGGGTCAGTGTTCAATTTTGGAACATCACTTTGATAGAATATTCCTTTGTTTATTACTCTTAGACGTGGCTGCTGGCAGCCCAGCTCCGTGGCTGTCCTTGTGTTGAAGGGAATGAGATGTGGTAGTACATTTTTGGCAAACAGTTTTATTCCCTTGACAAAACCTTGGGTTTATATCTCAGTGTGTTATTATTGGCATGATTGCTGCTAATATTTAGCTAAAAGAGGGTTTTACAAGTATATAAACCTGCCTGGAGATAGGCAGCATTAAAGGATGTGTCTCTCAACACGGGGATTTCATGTCTATCAACCCTGACGACGTTTCCAGCTCAGTGTGTCCCAGCCTGGGCAACTCCACCTCTTGTTTGTTTTACATGTATGTTTGCCATTAAGAAAAGTCCAGAGGTACCCCCTATGCCAGGGAGTGATACCAATAAGACATATTTCCATATCACTAACACATTTTCCCATAGGAATAAAGTGTTTTCTTTTTTCTGAGCAAATAATAAAACCAGTTCTGGAAACAACGGATTTTTCTGAGTATTAATTTCATTAAACTGCATGGATGTAAGGGAGAAGCTTTTTAAGATGAAAACCCAACCCTAGTGATATTTGGATGTCATTATAAATCTTTCAGCAAAGCTCAATTATGGAAAATCTAACCTTAAAGAACAGGAAGGGAAGCTCCCTCCCAGAGACAGAAGCCATGGAGCCACACGCCCATTAAAAGCGTTGGTGGAGATGAGTTTAATTTAAGAGCAGACACAAAGACAAACACAAGGTTTCCATTGGCAGATCCAAAAACGTTCCTACAAGGATTTTGCATATTGCATTGCAGTCACTTCTACCAGATGACTTTCTCATTATGTTCCTTTTAGGAAAAACTGATTAATGTGACAGGCTTAATTTCCAAAAGAACTCAAGTTATTTGCCTATTATGCTGTAAAACTCCCAGAAGAAGGTGCATTTTCTGGCAGTGCTTATAATACAGGTTCCTCTGACTTGTTCAAGGACAAGAGTAATGAAAGGGATGGGTGGGGAGGATTAAGAGACAGGATGTGAAACCTCCCATCGTGCTTGGCCAGCTGCAGGTGAGTCTGAGCAGTAACCACTGCTCTGTGGCAGCTGGTGGGAGCTTGGGGCTCTAGCCTGGTAACCAGCAGATGGGTAGGGATGACTCCTTCTCCAGGAAGGAGATGGCACTCCCGTACAAATCTTGGATTTTTAGTCTTGATCATTCAATTCAGCCTCAGCATTGCACAAATTAGCATTTTAAGTAATCTTCTTGCACATGCACGCCCAACTCTTCCCCGTGTTTTGGGTCCCACTGCCTCACTGCTGACAGAAAATCTCACTTACACTTCTTCTGTCATTTTCCCACCAGCCTGTGTACACCCTCTTGTATTCCTTGGTCACTGGGTCAAGAATGCTGTATGAGCCATAACCGTCCCGCTTCCCAAACTTCCAGTCACCGCTGTAAATAGCTCCTGTGCTTTTCCAAATCTGGGTGCCTTTACCTGTTTAACAAACAAGAGGAAAGAGGGAGACCATCATGGTTAGGAGAAGGGTGCACAGGGCTGCCCTTCCTGCTCCATCCCAGGCAGGGCAGCACTCCCTGCACAAAGCCAGGCTCATGTCTGGGATTCAGTTTAGCTTCCCAAGCTGGAACCATCGTTAATCTTGATCAGGGTCTTCCTGTGTGGCCTCAGCTGAATGCACTGAAATCTTTCCAAACCTCAGTTTACTGCTTGTAAACAAGTCTGTCCTGCTCTGGCTGCTCCTGGCTTGGACAGGGTCTCCTCCTGCTCTGTCCCCTGCACCCCCTGCCACATCTTGGGAATAAATTAAGATTCCTGGAACCAAGTCAGGAGCTAAGAGAGCTCCAGGGACTGTGCAGCCAGGGCACATCCCAGTGCATGGAGCTGACTGCAGTTTGCTGTTATTTGGAAAGGATTTTTAAACATCTTTAATAGAGATATTTTGGGTAGTTGCCCTTCAGCGCATGCAAAATATCTTCAAGTTACCTATTAGAAATGTTTCTGTATTTTTGCATTACATATATCAAATATGTGTGTGTGTGTACATATAGTCCTACATGAATGCTCTTCCAGGAGCATATAGAGCACATAGAACCACTGACCACTTCCCCCTAGGAAACTTTGTAAGAACATCTAAGTGCTATTTTGTCTCAAAATTATCTATCTTACCATGTTTCAAGTTGTCCAGCCATTCTCCAGTATACTGATCCCCATTTACAGCATAAATTGTGTGTCTTAATCCACATTTCTGGGCTTTCCTGTCCCATTCATAAAAGAGAGGATCTCTAGCCCTCGGATACTTTATGACAGGCATATTGCTGGTATCTGGAGAAGAAAACAAATTATTATCAGCAATAAATTAGAAAGTACTAAGTGCCTGTACTAAGGCAGGTACAGGCAGAACAGTATTTGTGAGCCATGCACAGAGATACAACAAACAGGAGGCAACTAAAGATACTGAAGTACAAACCAGCACTATGTGAGAATGGGCTCATAGCATAGCCTGGCCTGCTAGGAAATGTAAAATAAATCTCAGCAGCTCAGGTTTGTGGCAGGCATTGATCTCTGCATCTGCCAGAGATCTTGGGGAGTGCAGGGAAAGGCATCTCCTCCATACAGCTGATGGAATGGGTCAGGGATTTGTCCAGTGTCCCTGAGGCCCACCTGCAGCTGGGACACTTCATACCCTCAGCAGTAATGCAGCTCAGGCTCCTTTGCTGCTAAAAACATCAGTCTCCAGCTGCCTTGTTAAAAGGGCTTGAAACCACAACGTTTCCCTCTCCCAGGAGGCTGTGGGCTTGGCCAGGGCAGGCCAAGTGCTCGCCAGCCCACCAAGCTCCAAGGAGGTGACTTCTGAGGTGACTTCACAGGTGAGATGGGTTTAAAGCAGGAACAGCAGGCAGGGCATGGTGGGCACAGTGGGGGTGGCTCAGGCGTTGGAGGCCTGGAGGGAGAGGGTCAGTGTGGGGGAAGAGGAGAGAAAAGGAGACGTTTTTTGCCTCATAAATACAGAGGACAATGGTGGAGTGCAGCATAGTGGTGATTTCTGAGCATTGCCAATAGAACTGCTGTTTAGCACAGTGGGAATTTGGCACAGATTTGGAGGTGAGAGTGGTCTCCTATAAACCATAAGCAAAAGCCAAAAGGTGGCTGTAGAAATAAAAGCAAGTTTCTATGAATGCTGTTAACATCCAGAGCTCGGCTGGAGCCCGGCGGGGTGGGATGCTCTCCGATTTTGTCTCCTGGGCTCCCCCTTCTGTCCTGATCCGCTGGACTGAGCCATTTCGAATGATTTTGCTGCGTCTTTCCCTTCTCGGCAGAGCAAAGCTCTGGTTCCTGCTGTGCTGTGGGTGACAGGGAGCCCAGCAGGGGAGAAAAACTGAGCCTTGGGAGGAGAGGGAGAAAGAAAGGTTCTTTAGGTCCTTGCTAGGAAATAAAAGCTAGAAATTCTAACTAAGAAAATACTGTTAAGAGTTCAACCTCAGTTTTGCATTTTCCAGTGGGAAATGGTCAACAACGATTTAGAAGGATAGCACTGCTAAATAAAAATACTTATGGGTCCAGAATGAGTCTTGGTTAGAGGACGCCGAGGACAGGTCTGTCCCTCGGTATGGTGGAGTCACAGCCCACCACAGAGGATGTTTCTCCAGCAATGCAAACACAGGATACACTACAACTGCTGAGTTCCTCCCTTACTTTTGAGTGCTGCAGCTCCTGGAGAAGGAGGTCTTGCCAATATTTGCCAATGGCTGGGTTTTTTCGGGACACTGTGCCACTCTTTGCTGGCTTGAGCCTGTCCTGCCCTCACTGGGGAAGCAGAAGAGCCAAGCTACAACAATCTGTACCCACCCTGACACTGGCCATGACCTCTGAGCAGCTTATGCCTGAGACAAGAAGCCTCCTCTCTCTACCCCTGCCAGATGGGAGCCTCGCTTTCCCACCAACACATCCCACCACTTCTTTAACTCAAAGCTTAGGATTTACAAACCCCAGGGAGGATTCCCAGCTGCGGGGGCAGCCCCATCTGCTCGCCGTGTCCTGCGAGGCACAGCCCGCGCAGAGTACCCGAGGTAATGCGGGCTGCCGGGAGCCGCCTTTATTTGCTGAATCCCCTTCTAAATTTACGTCAGCGATGCCAGGTTTGCGTAAGTGATAACGCAGTCGGTATTCGCCTCCCTGCATGTTTTCAGCCGCCCACTCCCAGGGCGCGGGGAGGCTGGCAGCGAGAGGCAGGCGGTGCAGAGTCGTTCCGCTTGCAGCTCTCGGTACGAGGGCGAGACGCTGCTGCTCCCGTGCGCCTCTGCCGCGGCGTTTGGGGATGAGGCTCGTACAGACCCCCGCGTCCCCCTCCAGACGCTGCTCTGCGACTTTGGCCGGGTCTCTGGTAAAATGCAGCTTTAGTCTGCACGGCGCTACTGGAAGCCCATTTTTTTTCAGAGCAATGCAGTGTAGCTACTTTTTTACATCTTAATGAAGAGCAAGGAGGGAAGCACACCTGGCCGCAGAGAAGCGGCTACAGGCTGACCCTGGCAGAACCCTGCCTGGCACCGCACCCCGTGCCCCGTGCCTGACTGCCCCCGGCCCCGAGGCCCAGCTGAGCTCAGCCCTTGCCGTGACCCAGCACCACGACACTGCCCAGCAGGAGGGTCCCTTTGCCAGCACCCACCAGCGGAGCGGAGTCACCCCCTCCCCTCCTGGCCCCCAGGGCGCTGTCTGCGAGCGAAGTGCTCAGGGCTGCTCCTGCTGCTGCTCCTCCCCAGCGGGAGCCGGGCAGGAGGGCAGCGGTGCGAGCGGCCGACAGGGAAAGCGCCCAGCCCGGTTTGCAGAGCAGCCTGGAGCGCGGCCGCCGCTCTCCCGCCGCCCCCGATGGCGAGGGCCGAACCGCGGACACCGACCTGTGCTGGTGGCGGCTCGGTGCTGCCTGCGGCGGCGGGGTCGCCATAGCAACGTGCCAAACTCCAGCGCTGAGGGCCACGGCAGCGGCCCCGGGCGGACAGGGATGTGCCGGGACACGGCACCACACGCTGGTGCCCTCGCTGAGCACCGGGGATGGAGCCGGAGCCACCGGGCACACACAGCGCCGTGCAGCTACGTGCCCTGAGCTCGGGATGTTCCAGCAGAATATGAAGTGCTAATAAGCAACGAGTGTTTCACCTCTGGTTGGTTTTTCATACGCCCAGCAGCAGAAGGCTGGAAATGAAAGCACTGATTACAGCACCGATTAGTAACAAATAAATCAGCCTTGCAAATGTCAGGAGAAATAGGAGAAAGCTCCTGAAAATGCACATCAGCGGTCTTAAAGGAGAAATCTGAATAAACCTGACACTAATTCCCTCATCCATTACATTTCTTCCACAGCCGTGGTGAGCAGGGATTGCCACTCTGGCCTTATGGGTGTCTGTAATCATCTTCCCTAATGGGTAATTGACTGTGCACATTTCTAGTATCACCCCACAGCTCTGGTATGACTCCCATGAGCCAAATGCATTTGATTCTCTTCCTTTTACTGCATTTTTTGTGCACAGCTCTGCAGGCTGTAAGGTAAAAATGTTGAGGCAGGTGGGAACTCTTGTGATGAAACAAAGCAGCTGCCTCTGTAAAGATGAGATACAGATCAGCCTTCCCTGATGAGTGTTCTTTTGCCATCTTCCATATCTGAGGCATTGAATGTGGCTTAAACGTTGTGTCCATGCTCAGGTAGGACAGAGAATGGATTCATTCCAAGTGTGAGTGTGACTGAAGGCAAATATTCCATTTCCCATGGCATGTGTAAGGGCCATGGAGCCAAAGTGCCACTGCCTGGGAAATCAGGTGTAGGAAAATGAAGTGGAGGGAAGGAAGAGCTGCTCCACAGACAACATGAACTGGTGTGGAAATGATGGAGGGAGATCTGTACCGAGGGAAATACACACATGGAATTTCTTATGTTAGATTAGATGGAATTTCATGTTAGATTAGGAATTTCTTCATAAGAAATCACATGGAATTTCTTATGTTAGATTAGATGAACTGGGAAGATGGCAACTGCTAGCAAGCATTTCCAGGGATGTAGGAGAGGCAGAACTTAAAGACTTCTTTAAGCAGGAAAAAAAAATAATTAGAGAAAACCATGGAAGCTGACCAAGTTAGGAAATACTTATACAACAGAAAATGTCTCCTGTTATTAAAAATGAGATGAAAATATCCAGGAAGGATTTATTCACAGTCACTCATATTAAAGTGTTCTGGTTTGGGGCAGAGCCTAGGAATTACAGAAGACAATCATTCCTGTGTTTCACCATGGCCAGGCATAAGGGCTGGAGTGAGGACAGAAGTTTGGGGAGGAAATAAAGAAACCCATGAGGGAGAAGCAAAAATGCTTATTGCAGCCCAAAATCTACAGCTTGAAATTACAACCAGAAATAGCCTTCTCTGGAAAAGTATTAACTATTATTTCAGCCCCTATATAGCACTGCACTTAATTGAGAGATTGGCAATTAAAATAATTAGCTAATTCAGACCATTTTACCTGTCTATTTTTAAAGGGCATGGGCTGCCTGAGGTTTTTGAACTGCAAGTCCAAACTATGTCACACCTAACCACAGCTTCTGCTAACCAAAAGTTACATACATATTTGAAAAGTAACATATATTTGAAAACACTAAAAACTTTAAAAGAGTAAAAATATTTTAGCAACAAATTAAACTTCACAAATTGGGATCAAAAACTGCCTCTGCAAAAACCTCTGTATCTGGATATGATGGAGAGTGCTGCCTCCATTCCTGGGTTGCTTATTTTAAATTCTTCTGCTCCTGATCTTTGTGTGTTTGTTATTTTACTTCTGCAGTCCCAGAGTGGGTTATCAGCACCCTCACACACACTCCTGCCCCCTCCAAAGAGGCTTCACAAAAACATTTATCTAGGAAGAGGCTGTGTGTGATTCCCCTCTACAGTTTTCTTAGTTCAGATATAAACATTTGAATCATACTTAATTATTCTGTCACTTGATGATATCATTCTGTACCTTTTTGTATTACAAGGGTACAGAGTGGGAAAATATAAGCATATCCTTCTTACAAAAAAAAGACAAAATTAGACCAGCTTGAAGAGAAGGTGGTGATATTTGAAGTTTTATCAGAAAGTTCTTTTCGCTCACTCAAATGAAATTTTACTTAGAAAATGTCATTATTCCATTTTGAGAGAAGGAACCTCCTTAGTAAGTAGGAAGTGGGGATAATTTTTGTAAAGGGTGTCAGATATACCTAGAATATATAACCCAGTCTAAGAGTGAGATATAACTCAAACTGACCCAGAAATGTCCTAACCAAACTCTTCCTCTCCCAAGGGCAGTTGTTTCCAGGCACAACATTGAGGCCACTATGAAAAGTAGGGTCAAAAACTCAAACTATGATGTGCTAGGAGGAGAATTTGGGTTTTCTTTGACACAATTCCCCTCGTTCCAGCCTTGCCAGCCAAAATTTGGCCCCAAATACTCTTCTTGGCTGTTTGGTTTCTTTTTCTTGTTTCACTCTGACAGGCACTGGCCACTGACACCAAGGAACAACAGCAAAACCTTCACCAGGCAGTGCTGCAGTTCTGCTGCTGCTTGTACTGTTGCTGCTTTAGTTGTCTGGCAGTTGATTAAACCCTGCATTTATTAAGACTGAAAGGAAGCTTTTAAATCTGTCCATGTAAATTATGCTGCAATTCAGCCCATTATTCTGCCAACACAGTTCATTGCAATGAACTCCACTTGCAGGCTGGACACACTGAAGAGCCAAGCACTGGGAGTTTGTGCATGGAAACATGCCCAGAAACACCTTTCTGCAGCATATGACATATGATGCACTGTGACATATGATGCACTTCCATTTTTTTTCTCTTTTAAGGGCAGGATTAATAATAATTAAAAAAAAAAAAAAATTAAAAAAAATTAAATATAGCCCAAAGCCCTCAATATTCCAAATCTGAAACCAATCATATTTGCACTGAAAGGAGACAGCTGCTCCAAGCTGAGTTTGCTTGCACTAAGCTTGGGGAATTACCCAAGTGAAATGTCCAAACCAACTGAAAACTGTCAGAATCAATAAATTAAATTTATTCTGGGAACTTTGTAGAATAAATAGAGAAAAAACATTTAGGGAAACATATGTTGGAATTCTTTAAAGGTGAAAAGTGTTACAACAACATACTGTGGAAGTGGGATGCTCAGATGTGTGTTTTATTGCTGCTATATTCAAAAGAAAAGCCAGGGAAGAGGTGGGAGGGTCTTGGACTCCAACCAAGCCCGTTTTGGTGAGCTGAAGGAACATCCCCACCACTCTGCTCTAAAGAATTGTCATTAGCAGGATTTAGGAGGGATTGAAGTGAAAGGTTTGAGGTGTAAACTTCACCTGGTTGCCTCTGGCTTAAGAGGCAGCCTTGTGGGAAAGCGTTTAAAATTCTTCCCTTTTTGTTGGGAGCAGTTATCTCAAGATAAAAACCATGTTGGTTTTACATCAAAACAACCTGAAGTTAAACCCCTGGGTTATCTGGAATGTTCAGGCACTTAGATAGTCATGCAAACTGAAAGGCTGAAGTGCTGGAAGCTGACACCAGATACCCTCTCCCCATGAGTTCCTGTTGCTGCCGATTTACAGTTCTTGGTCTCTGCTTAACTACCCACAACAAGGTAGAGGTTTAAAGGTAAAGTTATGGTGTTAATTCCTTAAGTCACCCAAAGCTGAGAATTATTTACTGACCATGGAGTGCTTTGCAAGACTTTTAATATCATTGGAGGCAGATAAATTTGGCCATACTTGAGCTAATGCCTCACTTCAAGTCCTTACTTTATTCCTTAATTAAGGGATAAATCCAGACAATACAAGATGAATCAGCAGTATGAATCTCCAGCTGAAACATGTGCCAAGTATTTTATTTATCATGGCTTATTGTCATCTGGTGTCAGAATAGGGACTCATCTACATTTATATTTTGTCCTTTCTCCTTTGCTGTGCTGGAAAGAATCTGCATTTCTAGGACAGGGGAAAAGCATCAAAGGAAACAGCCTCAATTATCTTAAGAGGAAAGAATGAATGGAATTTGCATTCAGGAATAGTCTGGAGGCTGAAGGAAAGGAGCTCACGTGTGGCTGTACATATATATATATATATATAACTATGTGTACTCAAACAAAATCTAACACCCAGAGAACAAATAGTCACAATTTCACTGTGATCCTTAACTTGATTTATGAACTCAATTTCTTAGACACGTTTTCTGGCAGTGAAAGGTTGGTGAGTTGGGATTAATTAAGGTAAAGGCAAACCAGAGATTTCACATTTGTAAATTTGCTGCGCAATGGCCTTAGGTGATCTCTGGCAGCAGAAAACAGCCATTAAACTTGCAAGATACTGTGAAAAATGATAATAAAATATTGAAATTCAGAGGACAAGCACCATTCCTCATGTGTTGCCACAAGTGAAAGACAGGCGAGGTGTGGGAGCCCTGAGCATCAGCTGCACAGAGCCCTGCTCCCCATCCAGGGCTGAGGGGATCACTTATCCCAGCTTGCTTTGGTTTTGTTCACAAAGATGTGATTCAAATAATGAGATTATACAAACAGCTACAGCCTCCCAGGAGCTGGGGACAGCTTACAGGTAATTCTGAAGTATTTTGTAATGGTGCAAGGTTAAATAATGCAGAACCAGCTGTAAGGCCAGCCCTGCTACACCCCCATTGCTTGTGCTTATGTTTGTGTGGTTTCTGTTTGAAAGAAAATGCAGATCTCTTGAATGAATATTAATTAGCATGGCTTAGTTAAAAAGTTGAAATAAATCTTTTGGGGTAATCATTATGCACAGCCACAAAACGTGTAAGAATTGTTCCTTGTCAAGAGGTGTAGGGGACAGGTAGGAAAGTTTGGGATAAATCCCTTGGTGTTCTGGGAGAGCTCTAGGGCTGGCACAGCAGGCTCTGAGTGGGAAATGCACATTTCCTGCCTTTGTATGTGAAATACCAACCATGGCCTTAACTAAATGTCATCAGCCTGCAGAATTCCAGCCCAGGACAAATATTCATGTCTGATAAGAGTTTTCTTCTGCTCTTTTGAGGCTTACAGATCAGAATGAAAGGAATACTTTTAAGGACTATTGACAGTTTATGATGTCTTCTAAAAGCACCTTTTCCTGAACTGACACAAGCAATCCTACAAATGTTGAAGTGTTTTTACTTTCTGGATTCCCCCAGATCTGCAGGAAGGTGTCAGCACCCCAGCCTCAACAGCAAGGGGTGAGATGCAGCCACATCTCAGGGATGGCTCTGTGGTAAACTGGGCTGACAGAGAACTGCAAAGGTGAAGGGAATGTTTGCATGTGGGAAGGAAAAATAACTTTGCTGGCAGGGAGTATTCCAACCTTGTGGTGAACTGGAAAGTTTTGGCACGTGTCCAGCGCAGAGTTAATGCTCCGATCTGAGACGTGATCCTCCTTCTTCCAAAGTCTGTAATCCAAAATCCAGGCCTCCTGTAACAAACAATCCTGTTACATAGGATTGTGGACAAATGCTAGAATCCAGGAAAAATTTAATACAAATATAACAAATTCCTGTGACATTTCTATTATGTTGATTCATTTATTATTCTGCTTCAGGGTTACCAAGACCTGCCACAACACACGTGTTTGATCTCTGGACAATCATGGCCTCACTGGAGAAGCAGCAGGGACAATGCAACATCCCTGGGGCTGGTGGTTCTTAAACCAGCAGAAATCCCAAACCACTGCAAGTTCTGAGAGGGTTTCTCTGGAAACTGAATGCAGAAGATCGTCAACGGCATTTCAGGTGTCCACCCACAAATGTATGGAAAAAACATGCAAAAAAAGCCAAACAGTGGACCTAGAGAAGGACCAGGGACAGCAAAACACTGAGGAGTGTCTCTACACCCAATGTTTTTGGTTGTTTATGTGAAATTCAAGGAAATGGGATCCTACATAGACTCCTCATGAAAAGACAGCATTGCATTTGTGTTTTTACTTTAGCTTCACTCCTCCCCTCTCCTCTCCTTTGTACCTTTTCTTTTCAATTGCTTCCTTCCCCTTCCCTTTTTCTTCCTCTTTGCCAATTTCTACCCTTGCACAAGAAATTCACAGGATGTGCTGTCAACATTTACAACTCTTCCCACCCTGCCCCAGAACATCAGGCTCAGCTCACAACTGGCCAGTCCAGCTGCTGAGTGGGTAATTGTAAAAAAAAAAGACATCAGGAATCCTCTTGTCGTCTTCTGTGACACCAAGGACCCGTGATGAAGGTCCAGGCAGCTGCAGGGCTGAAGCTGCCTCAGATTCAGCCACCAGCTCTCTCTGAGGGGGCTGGCCCTGTGCAGTGGAGGGTTTAATCTCCCCTCAGCTCCATGCGTGATGAACCACCCTGAAAGGGCAGGAAAATGCTTCCATGTCACACCACGGAGCACTTCAGGTGCTGCCACAACACAAGAGGGCTCAGGAGAGGTGCAGGGCCTCCAGGATGTGACCAGGGCAGGGTGAGTGACAGCAGCCGAGGGGACCCCCAATCTGAGGGGAGCTTTGGCCTGAGGAGAACACAGGCCTGACGGGTGCTGCGCCTGAGGGGACCATAACGGGAGGGGATCCCGGGCCTGAAGGGGGCCATCACAGGAGGGGATCCCGCACCTGAGGGGAGCCTTGACCTGAGGGGAATCTCCGTCCCGAGGGGCTCTGGCCGGAGGCGAGCACAGACCGCAGCGTTCCCTCACCTGCCGGGTCCCTCCCCTGAGGCGGGCGGTGGAGGGCGGGGGCGGGGCCCGCCCATGACCGCGCGCGATGACGTCAGCGGCGCACGCGGCGCGCGGGCCCGGGGCAGCGGGCGGCGGGCGCGCGCCGGCGGCCCGGGGAGCTGGCGCGGCCCCGCGCCATGCGGGACCAGCTGGAGCGGAGCCTGGGCGAGTGGCGGGAGCTGGAGGAGGAGTTCCGGCAGCTCCAGGTGAGCGGGGGGCGGCGGGGCCCTGCGGGGCATTCGCGGTGCCTCCTCCGCTTGCGCGGACGCGGCTTCCCCCGCGCTGCCCCGCGCTGCCCTTGCCGGCTCTGCTTCGCATCGTGACGCGGGGCCGGCCCCGGCTCGCCCCGCCCGGCAGGAGCGGGACCGGGGGTCCCCGGGGCGGCTCCCCGGCGCCGGCCGCATCCCCGGGGCGGCTCGGCGGGAGGTGCGGGCGGGCTCCCCCCAGCCCCGCCGGGGGCGGCCGGGCGCGCTCGGCGCCTTCGCTGCGGCCGCGGGGTGTCCGCACGGAGCGAGGATGTGCATCCCTGCACGGCCCCCCAAAACAGCCCGTGCCCCGCTGCCCCCTGTGCGAGCGCACGGGACAGCCCCGACCGAGCCGCGGCCGTGCCCCAGGTCCCTCTGAGGATGCACCAAGATGTGGTGCCTCGGATCCCGTTGCTGGAGAAAGGATGGAAAAAGGGGACGCGGTGCGGTTGTGCATCCATAGCGTGCTGCAGAGAGCAGTGCGGGCAGCGCCTGTCCCGCCAGCATCTCCTGGCGGAGTTTGATTTCCCGTGGTGGGATACGACGGCTCCGAGTGCTGTTTTTCCATCTTGCAAAAGTGCATTGAGGGATGGAAGGGCCTCGGAGTGGGGGCCAAGAGCTGTTCTACGAGATGCTTTTACTTCCAGAAACCTTCCCTTCCTTCTCTGCTTGTCGTCAGTGCCGCACATATACACGTGCTTTAAATCTTAAAGCCAGTTTTAAAGTACAGTTTTAAAGGCTGTTCTCACTCTGGAGGCTGTTTCGGCCTCTTTTAGACTGTTAAACAGAACGTGCATGCAAAAAAAACCCCCGTGTGATATCCACATTTAGCTTGTTTCTTAATTAAAACTCAGTTCAGGTTGTATTCCTCTTAGCAGAAACAAGGGTTGGGTGCTGGGGGAGACCAGCTGGCATGGTTTTGTTGGTCACTTGTTTGCTGTGTGCACCTTCTCAACAAGCTCAATGTCCGTGACTGTCCCTGCCTCAGTTTCCCCACCTGGAAAAGGAAAGTAGAAACACTTTTCAGTGAGGTGGCAGCTTCTGGTGGTCGAGGTGTCAGGATTAGTGCTGTAGAGGTGTGCTCAGCAAAACCAAAGTGAGCCTCAAACAGCGAGAGCTGCAGTGCCTGTACAGGGTTAGTTTGGTTATTTAGGTCTTTAAATCAGACACTGGAGCTTGTTTTGGATTGTTCTTGTAAATAAAGAACAGCTACCAAGTGGGTCCTAGCAATGAGGAGGAGAGCAGAGATTTGGTTTGTGTGGTTTCACCACCATGTTTATGCTCTGGGAAGAGTGGTGGGAATTTCCTGTGGTTCTTGGTGTGCTGGTAGGTGAAGCAGTCGTGTAACCCACACTGTCTCTTGGCACTAACTCTGCAAACTCTGTTTTCCAACTTATTACAGGTCTTAAAATTGGCTCAGAGGTCATTGCTTGATGCTTGGAGAGCCCCTCCTAAGACCTCCCTCATGGGGAAAGGGGTGAAATCCTTGCAAAGGGTGGGAAAGCAGAGCCCAGGTATCCCCGAGCACAGGGAGGGGTGAGAGCAGAGGCTCCTCTCGATGGGTTTGCAGTTGGTGAGCGTGTCCTCATCATGGCTGAACACTAATTGGGGGCTTCAGGGTACCAATGAGCTGTGATAAAGCAGTTCCTGCCAGGGAGCATGCAAGGCCACAGGCAGGGACATCAGTTCAGCTCTTTAAACCAGAATATGGGACAGTAGGTTGCTTGAATTGAATATCTGTGGGGTTGGGATGACAGTAATGGCCTGGAGGTGCCTAAACCCTCAGCCATGGATTTATGCCTGGTGCTGTGTCTTTTCCCTCCCTCCCCCACTCTGTTAGGTCCTCATTTATTTTCTCCAAGATTTAATCTGGCTGTGAAATTGGAGTGCCTGCTCTATGATTTAGCCACCATTTGATGGGCATGGATCAGGATCAAATGGAGGATTAGGAGATTCAAGGATTAGGGGCTTCATTGCAGGGTGGGATGGGAGTGAGAAGCTCCTGAGTGGGAAAGCTCTTTAAAGAGGCAATGAGATGAGTGTAGAGGATGCTTTTCCTCTTGCAGGAATTTCATCAGTGTCCATTTAAGCCCTATTGTATCTGTACTCCTTTGGCATCTCCCCCTCCTTCCTTGTTAAACGGGTGCCTATTGTATCCCACAAAACAGGATTTTCCTGGTTTCCCTTGGAGGTGAGGACCAAATGCCATGAATAACCTAGAAGGGCTCTTCCTACCTACCATCTCCTCTTCTCCTGCAGGAAACACACAAAGTTTACAGGCAGAAACTGGAAGAAGTCACCAGCTTGCAGACAGCCTGCAGCAGCTCCATACATCGGCAGAAGAAGACACTGAGGGATCTGAAGCACAGCCTGCAACGGTAACAGGAAACCTGGAGGGTGGAGGAGGCAGGGATGGGATAGTTCTCCTTCCAAGGGCTGAAATGCTTGGATTTTTAGTACTTTTACTAGAAAATCTATGTTGCAGTGCTAAAGTTGTTCCATATTGCAGCCAAGTAGAGTGTTCATTACTGCATGAGAGAGGGAGTCCTGTAAATAAAGAAGTTTAAGGGAGCTGGTGTGGGTTTCTTCCTTGCAGTGTGTGCTGTACATTGCAGGGCTGTGCAGCTTTTGGCTGTGCCAGGTGAGCAATGCTTTGCTCTGTAAACTGCACTGGAAGAGCAACATCAGTCCTTGAACCTGAAGGTGTAACTTGCTCCTGGGTGGATTTACAGGTGGGAACTGTCTCTGGCTGCTTGGCTGATCCCAGAAGCCACAGGCTGAATTCCTTGTGTGTAGGCCTGAGTACAGTACCTCTGACACCACAGGCTGCTGGCTCTGCTGCTCCCTGCTCTCTGGTTAACATTAATTACTAAAACCACAGTTTGTCAGTAAATCATCAGCTCTGTGTCCTGTTACATCCTGAAATACTTCATACCTGAAGAGCTGCAGCCTCTGCAAGGGCAGTGCCTGAAACCACGCACAGAGTTCCCAGGGCGGAGAGAGTTCTTTCAGAAAAGCACAATATTCCCACACGATCTTGTCACTGAGCTGATGGAAAGAGAAGCTGATTTATAAACCAGCTGGTTGAAGTCACCTACAGCAGCATAAACCTGGCAGTGAAATAAAGTCGTGATAAGCCAAATGGTTCCTCAGAAATACAGGAGCAAAGCACATCAGCTCCCAGAGCCAGCTTGTTAACAGCCTGGATTTTATGACAACATTTTCCTTCTAATAAAAAGGAGGTGAAAACATGAACAGGAATATCTTGTTTCTGTGTTCTTGCAGGTGCAAGCCCAGAGCGAGTCCTGAGGAGTTTGCTCTCATTCAGGAGATCAGCAGCCAGATCAAGGAGAGACAGAATGCCTTCTTTGACATGGAAGCCTACCTGCCCAAGAGGAATGGGTACGTGCTCCACCAGGGAGGCTTGTGTGCTCCAGGAATTTTGGATTTTTAAATGTTCACAGCAATGCTCTTTGTTCCTGAAGGAAAAGGTTGAAGAAAGACATGTAAAATTGGATTAGTCATAAATCTCTTACTGAGCTGCTGTGTCAGTTGTACACAGAATTCATTAGCTGTGAGTGGATGTAAATGTGTGTGGGCAGTGCAGGTTTTCTGTTAAAATGACAGTAACCTGCACTGGCAAGGGATTGTGCAGTTCACTGTTCCACACTGATGTTTTCCTGGGCTAATTTTTTTGAGGGCTGAATCAGAACAAGACTTTTCTCTTATTTTTTTTTTTAATAATATTTTTAACCAACTTTAACTTTTGCTTCAAGCGGGGTTGCTAGGACAGAGTTATGTCAGTTGTGTGTGATGCTGCAACCCCTCAGATTTTCTTCCAAGTCCTCCCTGTGCTTGGATTTGGCCAGTGCACACTATATATATATATTGCCCTTAGATTGTAGTGCAAAAAAGGGACCAGGAAAATAAGCCTTTTCAGTAACTTCCTGGAAATGCTGACCAATATTTCCATGTGTAAAGCCTCTTCTGTGGTATTTCCCTCCAGTTTGTCTTAGTTAAAAACCTCCAGCAAATGTGGCTTTGGCAGAGCCACTGTCTCATCACCTCAGTCTAGATCGTCCTGTGCTGTTCAAATAAAACAACTTACTTGTCTGCTCTTGGCTTTTGTCTTCCAGCCTGTACTTGAATCTGGTGCTGGGAAACGTGAATGTCACTCTCCTGAGCAACCAGGCAAAGTGAGTGATCCTCCCCACATGTGTGAGTTTGGGTTTCTCTGGGGCCAGCTGTGGGTGTGGACTGAAGCCCAAGAGGGAATGGGTTTCTCTTAGACCTGATAAGTGGAATGTTGAGGATGGGCCTCTGGACTATAACATGGGGATAAGCTGACATCCAGTGTAGCTGCAATTCCATTTATCGTTTGCTTTTAAGCCCAGCTCGGCCTCTGGCCTTAATTGTAAAAGTGTTTGGAGTTTTTTTTGTGCTGAAAAATGGTGCTGTGACTTCTAGGCATACAGTGCTCCAGAAAATGGAGATATATATGTATTTTTTAAATCTTGTCAAGCCAATCCAGAAACTAGCTCTGATGGACTTAGGCATTGTGTTGCAGCTGAGACTGACCCTCCCTGCAGGCAGAACACTGCCTTTCACCACTGTCCACTGCTTTTCTAAGTGTTTCAGCAAAACCTCTGTCTCTGGGCTTGATATTTGGCTTTGTACGTGGTTTGGAAAAGGTGAAACTACATTCTACTCAAACATTTGTGTCCACAAATGGCACCTGTTTCCTTCCAGGTTTGCCTACAAGGACGAGTATGA